ATTAATAAAATAAAATCTTGGATTTTAACAACATAATAACTAATCATTGTGGCAGCTAGACCATAAGGCTGATTGCTTGATTGTTGTTTGAAGGCTGTACTCAGCAATATTCCAGCTATATGGCTGTGGTCTTTAATTGAGTCTGGACAAACAATCCAGCGATCAACAGCATAACACCAGTCAACAAAGTCAGCGAGTCTGACCACCAGATCCTGTGGGTCGCTTCTTATGACAAGCATGGGTTACTGAAGACCAATTCTAACCCGGTGGCGAGGCCAAAAAAAACAACCCAAAAAACAAAACATGTGTCAGCTGCAAACAGAGTTATCTGCCCTGCCAACTGAACCAGCATTCTATCATTATACATAACAAAGTGAGCCTGATGGGTCCGGGCAGTAGCACCAACAAACAAGATACAGTAAACATGGACTGTGACATCCTGTAAAGGACAAATTGGCTCCATGTCAACACTCACAAGCAGAAATATACAAAGTCTCACAGATAGCACTTAAATGTGTCATATATTCACTATCCATCTCAGATACACAGCTTAGTAGAATATCTCACTGCCAATATTGAGATCATTCATTTAACTGGTCTACACAGGCTAATAATTTCACTCAGAAACTCACACTTTGTCACAAGAATACAATGTCAAATAGATTCAGATAATGCCAACAGTTTTCAAGATAATGTTGAGAGATAGGAAACACGATTGCCCTATAAAATCCTTCAAAGAAGTGTGACAGATGATCTAGTCCAAGATGTTATACACAAATCTCCTCTAAAATACTGACGTATTCAAAATGATCTTGAAGACTACAAATGTGTAGAGGAACATGAATACCCTGAAAAAGACCTGTGGACAACACATTAACTGGACATTATTTTGTGTTTTACATCTTGTACATCAGCTTCAGACAGAGAAGTCATTTAAAAAAAATTACACAACAGATCTACCTATGGTTGAATGAGTTTTGTTTTACGCCGCTTTTAGCAATATTCCAGCAATATCACGGCAGGGGGACATCAGAAATGGGCTTCCCACATAGTACCCATGTGGGGAATTAAACCCGGGTCTTCGGCATGACAAGAGAACGCATTAACCACCAGGCAACCCCACCGCCCTCCTTTGGTTGAGAATCCATCCAATAAGTAAGCACCTGTAAAAACAGTTCACAAAGTGATCGTCCATTGTACTATATTCAAACTGCAATGTGTTCAGTTTCAGGTTTACATGAATAAAGCATTTAGATCTAAATTGGTGGTCCTCCTCCCTTTCTTCAAATATTCCTTCAATACTGAGAGAACTATTATAAAGGGCACCAAACCAGAGCAGATATATACTGACATACATAAGAAAGTACACACCTGGTATTTTGTGACTATTTCCCCCCACAAAACCCCCCAAATATTTTGCTAGCAATGTTGTAATTGGGTACAGTATCTGTGGTGTTTTGGAAACATTTGCAGAATTTTTGTGACAAGGCAGAGTCAAAACACTTTTTAAAAATTAATGTTGTTTTCAAGAAAATATTTTACCAAAGAATCAGGTGTGTACTTTCTTTTGAACGTCAGTTTAGATTCATGCAGGAACATGGGTGAATATCAAAACATTGTGTTAAATTTTTATCTGGCTAGTAGATGAGAAACACAGAAAAGCACAGACGGCCATTTCCTGAGTCAATTCTCAGAATTTACAAGCAATACAGACAAATGCTAGGGAATGTTTGAGCTGTACATCTTTGACAATCACTTAAGTATAAACCAAACCATCATAGCTTGTGATGCTAATTGCTCACTTTGTGTTACAAATAGGCTTTTTACTATTAATGATAAGATTGGAGAGTTCTGAGCCACAACATCACATTTGTGAGAAACCACAAACCATAGGTAAAACAGTCTGTGGGGAATATAAAAGTTTTAAGAGTGCCATTTCAGTGAGGCCTGTGAAGACAAGACGTAGTTCCAATCACCAGCTGACCAACTGAGATGCCAACCCTGCCCTTTGTTTCAAATGGCAGGCACTGTTTGAGCAAGATGCACTGCCACTTGGAACGGTATTTCAGTTGTGTCATGTCAACGTGATGTGAGAGAAAAGCAGCAGGCAACACAGGCTATGGACAATTACAATTTGGTTAAACCCATGAGCGACGTCATGGTGCTCACAAACGAAGGATGATATCAACAGCAACACTGGGATTAGTTCTGTCTGTTAAATGCTAGAGCATCAACTGACAGTTCTGTACCAGGATTAAGGACTCACAGTTACAGTAATCCACATTAAGCTGTTATTTTATTAGTTTTTACAGAAATCGCATAATGCAGCAATCCTTTACAAAATTGTAAGAGTGTTTCATATTAATATTTGTTCATCAGAAATTAACTGTTGTATATTTAACTATTTGTTGTGAGCTTATGTTTTTAATTGGCAACACCTAGAAAGAGCGGCTTTGAGTAAGGCTGTTCTGAATAGAATTTTAATTATGTCAGGTTGCTGTATGACGAAAACCAAAGTGATGTAGGTCTCTGACCTTCACAACTCTACAGAAAATTTAATTATTTTCACCTTACTTTCAGAGGAATTTGTCCCTAAAGCAAACAAGAAACTTCTACTCCATGTCTGAGAAAAATATACTAGTGGCGCCTTGAAAATTGTTTAACACAACATCATCTTAACATTTACAGTTCACAGAAAAATTAGTTTTGCTGCCAGGTACACTGAGAAATGTACAGTGGCATTGTGTAATCAAAGAAATACCAAGTTCCTCAAGACTGGCACACCCTCACCAGCAGCATTTGAACTGAAGTTTACACCACATTGTCAACTTATCCACAGACATCTGACACAACGTCAGCTAATTATCACTGAAACTGAACACCACTGTACACTGTACATACTGTTAAGAATTACAAACCTGCCTTATGGCTGACATCTCTACCAACACAACAGCAAGAAAATAATTCCTAGAAACTTTAGAGCATTTTCAAATTATACAAAAGTAGCTGAATAAAACAAAATATTAAACATTCAAATTGATCTATGCATTCTGAATATAATACACAAGTTCAGTGAATAATAATGTTCTTTTCAGGAATTCCACATTGCCAAGACATGCTGTTTATTAAGGACATAAGACAAGTTATAGTTCAGGTTCAGTTGAAACACTAAAATAGGATCCAAATGAACATGCCATGTATGTTAGGATGATACGATTATTTCTCAAATTTTCATCCATCTCATTTTCTTAGTTTTTCTCCTGACATCTCCTGAAAGATTAGCCCACTTCATGCATTTTTGTCAAAGTGTACTAAAAAGAACAAAAACTATGGCTTCTTATCAGTGCTAATATTTCACAATGTTCGGAAGACTGTCTAACATGTTCATAGCAATTCTAATGAGAAAAAAGAAAGTTTATACCAAAATGGCTGTATTGACCATGTTTCCCATGTTTTTGAAGCAACAATTATTCAACAAATACTACATTTTTTACCTGGCAGAAAATATTCATTTTCAGTAAAGAGCCTATCCAGGAAGCATTCTATGTAAGCTTGAGACAATGTACTTTAGTAAACATACTTTGCAAAACATACTTACAATATATCACAGATTTCTAAGAGATAGGAAGAATACAGTAAAAATGTACAAAAAGGCAATGAGTACAAGTTGTATTACTTAAACTTGCAATTCGCTGTCATGTTTGGTGTTAAACCATTTCCTACACTTATCTAAGGTACACACCGTCTAGTATCCGCTCCTGCAGCACCCATATTTCCTTATGGTCTGGCTCCGACATATGTAAGTGGTGGCTTGTAAATAACTAATAAAAATGTGTAACAGAACATGTCACATCAGTTTGTTGACAAACAACACTTGGTTCTTTGCTAGATGGGTTATGTCCCATTGGCTGAAATTGGTTAGGACTGTCACTGCATTCTCCATGAACAGCATGGGCAGATACAGCTTTTTGAGAAAGGGGATGCACATTCTTAAGGGGAAGGGGGAGCAGACTTCATTTTCATGAGTGTTTCAATGGTCATTTAAATTTCAAGACTGGATCCACCTATGAACAGAGACACTATGATACCCTGGACATTGATGGCAACAATAACAGAACGGAAATTATTGTTAGTTTTGCTTATCTGCAAGTTTGCATATCCAGCAATGTGTTAATCGAGGCGATTTAACTGCGTTATTATAGTCTGGATAAACAGGTTCACTGCACATAATTGCCAAGAGGAATCAGAAGAGTTCCAACAATACCCTGCTGAATGTATTTGACACACTGTCTGTGAATATGTAGACAAGGCCAATTTTGTACATGGAAACCTAAAATTTCTCTAAACTTAGAAACTTACCTACTATCTTGCATACTTGCAGAACTTCAATACCCAAGTTGACAACTGAACCAAGTACAATCCTGTGAAATCAACACTGAAGACACTGACTGTTATGGTCAACTCTAAGAATTGTGTATACACAGTATATATTGTTAAGAATACTTCTATTGCCGTATACAAAAGTCTCGATAGAAAACGACCCCCTGACATCCTCAAGTCGTTGTGGTTTTGATATCAGGGGATATCTTGGCATAAAGTTGGTATTGTCAGCATTGATACTTTGTCAAAATAGTGAAACCCATTAGAGATCTTGTGTCATGGCCGAGGTTTCACAAGTTAAAGCTTGCAAATAGAGCTTCCCCATGCATGAAGTATCCTTATGCCATGTGTTAGAACACAGATAGGGATGGATTTGTCTTGACAAACACAAACACTTTCATCTACTACCAATATTGAGAAGCTTAACATTCTTAACAAGATCAGCCAAATTTTAAGACTTGCAAACTCTTTGCTGCAACTGATATAGCATCCATTCAAAATAATTATACAGCTCCATGCACCGTTGTATGCAAATTAACTGGTGGAGAAGAGGGGAAACGTCAGTTGACATTCAACTACTCCAGATTACGTTATCAAGTTGTTAGACTTAATTTTGTTAACATGGTTTAACAGGAAATGTTTCCAATAAAACATTCAGGGATACATTCTTATATCACACAAGTAATTATTTCAAACCATAAAGGAACTTATATACTAACTCTTTAAATATGATTGTACATGAAGTCACTATATTTCAAAATGAGACCATTCTACCTTACTGTTAAATTATCCCCGCATTGTCTTAAATGTATTAAATAATACAAAGACACATTGTGACCAAAACAAATTTCAATTCTTTTATAATAGGGAGCTGAGAGAATTTTTCTGTGTGACCTGATAGCGACATAACCTAAGGGTGACTAATTATTTTGAGTTGTTTACCATCATTATTTTGTTACATGCCAAGTCACATGCATCATTACTACTTATAAGCTGTTCCGCAGTTTCCATGTACCAAAACTATACAGAACTATTGATCTTGAAAATAAATTTAAAAAATGAACAAACAAGAAATACCATGTAACGATCAGTAAACTGAACAGTACCAGGTGCAAGAGCAAAAAACATTAAATGTGCTTTGAAAATAACAACTTATTACAGATGAACAAGAATCAGGACCATATGGAAACAATCACCCTCCGTCTTGATATTTAAACTTGACCAACGATTAAAACCAAAACCACTACAAAGCATGTGATCAATGAACTTGGTATCTTGCTTTAATTCTAAAGCTTTGCTATGTATTCAAGAAATATGATTTTCACACCCAAAATGTAATCAATCAAAAGATGCGTTTGATAAATACATAAAAAAGCTCACACCAGGTGAGAATGGCAGTGATATACTTAAGTAGTTCTTAATTTTCCTGACATTCAAAGGACAATAAATAGTATGTTACAATTAAACCAAACAGACCAACTCAAAATTGAAGGGCAGCACTGATTTTGATTTTGTGGGGCCAGTTTTAGCTTGCTGATCAACCCTTGAAGCACTATTTTCCAGTCATTGTTGTCGACAATGAAAACGATGTTGTAAATGTAGAAACTGACTGAAAGACTTCAGCACGAGTCAAGGTGCAGTTTTGACGGCTCAAACTTAGCTTCACATTCAATCAAGAAGCGTATCACAACATAATGTAACAAAATAATCTTTGGCATTGTAACACAGCTACTTGACAATACACATGTATTGTTCACACCGAAGTAGAAGTACTCTCATGATATGTACAGACGATAGACGCCACGCCTTGTCGCTTGAGTAGCTAATCTACACATCATACATAATAATACCCTTATAGGTCCTCTCCCACCTTTGCTAAGCCATCGGGGGAAGATGGCTGCCTTGAGGTGTTGGCCAGTCATCTGAGTACCCGTATATCAGACTTGTCTGATACAGATGCAGCTCAACACGGGTGGAATACTAGGGTGGGGTAGAGTGATTGTGGTTGTACATTGGCACAGTAACCCTTTACCCATTGTGACTTTTGATCGCAGTATCATAATTGTCCTTGCCAACAGCAGGAAGTCAGTGGTAATTATGGCAATATGTCTGTAGTTTCACCAGCTTTCCATAACCAGCTTTCCATCATTTCAATAGTGTTCCACCAGTTCACTGGTTTTACAGTCTTGTCACATTGCTGGTTAGGACATCGGTGCAATTCAAGGTGCGTCCCTAAGTACAACCCTTGGTGTTTCAGTCTAAGGTGCAACCGATGTTTCAGTCCATGGTGCAACCAACTTAAAGTCCAAGTACAGCCATGGAAATTGAGGGTAAGGGTTAATCATGGCTGGGCAAAATGATGAGGCAGCGACAGGCAAGGTGTAGTGCATCCGTTTGATTTCACCTGATTTACAACAGTTGAGCAAGTAGTTGACAAATTAAACATTTCCTAAGAGCCACGTATGTCATTCATACTCTAGGATCTGCTTGTGGTAGAACAAGAGGTACCTGAAAGACAAAAGACATTTAGGATAAAAGTTGGTGGGAGGGAGGGAGGTAGTGTGTGTACATGTCATGAAGTATTCCAGTCTAATGAGGGGGTCTGTTAAGTCTAACCAAGGCAATCCACTGTGAGCAATGATCCATGCCATCAGGTTATGCTGACATACTATTAACTAAGTTGCCAATTTGACCACCAAGTTGCCCTCAAATGACAAATATAGATTGCTTGGTACTAATTCAGACCCACACCCTGATGGGAGTGAGTAAGCGAGTGGTTTTACAGCGCATATAGCAATATTCAGGCAATATCACGGCAGGGGACACCAGAAAAGGGCTTCACACCATCCTCACACCATGGGACAGAATATCACTGTCCCTACATGTTGCTTACAAGAATTACGCTTGCAGCTGTTGCAGGTTCAAAGGAAAGACTTGGATGTTTCCAAAGCCTACAATAGGGGATTGCCTACTCCATGTGTTCTTTCACACGTCTCTCAACAAGATAGGACATGACTAAAGGTATTACCCTTCACTATTGAGAACTTCTTCTGGTGACGCCTTTGTGATCATGTGATCTTCACACTTGAACCACTGGTCCTTGTGGAGGCGGATGTAGCATGTGTAGTGACCAGTTTCTATAGTACCACTGTGATTCACCACAGAGAACAAAGAGTATCTGAAACATCAGTAATCAGAGAAAACATAACTCACTAAAAAATAGAGATAAGTAAACTTATGCAAAATAAGAAAGTAAAAACATCATGTAATTTTCTGATTAAAATTGATATTTTATACTTATCCTGACTCATGCTACTTGCTTGTCTTCTTCTTCTTGCGAACACAGTGGAACACTTGTATCTCCCAATTGAAGTTCCCTTCAATGTAAAATCACTAATTAGTACTCACCACGAGTTATCTGTCCCCTCGTAAGCGCGGGAACGAGGGCGCCACCTCCTGCCATGTGCCTCACTCTCTCCTTTTATAGCGAGCCCAACACTTGAATTTTCAGGGAAATCCAAAGTGTTATGTGGGGAGGACGGGAGGGCTTACCTCATGAGTCAGGATAAGTATAAAATATCAATTTTAATCAGAAAATTACATATTTTTCCTTATCCTGACTCATGCTACTTGCTTGTAGAATCCGACGGATACGGAGGTGGGAATACAGAATACTTTGGATTTAGATAATTAGTGATTTGTATAGTAATGCTTGTAATAACCCTTATGGGAACTTCATAAAGGCACTGAATTGATGAATTCCTGCTGCTAACTTATCAGCTGCCATATATGAGTTATTACAATATAATTATTATGATAAAAGTATATACAACAAGAATACTATGCCTAAGACTAATAAACTTAAGCTTGTTAATATGATAGCATAAACTCCTTAGAGTTTCTTAGCTAATATACTTTTATGATGTAAACATAGTACTAAGCTTAAGATATGAATAAACTTAAGCTATATATATAATAGCAAAAACTCCGTAGAGTTTGTTAGCTAATATATTTTATAATATAACCATAATACTGAGCTTAAGATATGATTAAACTTAAGCTAAATATATAATAGCAAACTCCGTAGAGTTTGTTAGCTAATATATTGTTATGATATGACAACCATAGTACTGAGCTTAAGATAATAAATGAACTTAAGCAAAATATATATAGCATATAGCTATTTAGTACTGTTATAAGATAAGTAGTAAATCTGTAAGATTGACTTATCTTCTCCGAGGAACTGTCAACTGTTGTGCGAGGACCATGGGACCGAAATGGTGGATACCTGAGACGTCCTCGGTGGTGGAGATATCTCTCAGATAGTGGTTGGCAAACACCATATCGGATCTCCAGAAACAACCCTCCATTATGGTATTCAAAGACTGACTGACTGACTGAGTTTAGTTTTACGCCGCTTTTAGCAATATTCCAGCAATATCACGGCGGGGGACACCAGAAATGGGCTTAACACATTGTGCCCATGTGGGAAATCGAACCCGGGTCTTCGGCGTGACGAGACAACGCTTTAACCACTAGGCTACCCCACCGCCTGGTATTCAAAGAGCAGTTGCCATGTAGAGCAAGTGTAGATGCTAGCGCTCTAATTTCATGAGGATTAGATGCTCTTGGAGGGTCCAGTCTTGCAGCCTTGTAGGCACGTAGTATGACAGTTCTGATCCAAATGGAGATAGTAGTACGTGAGACTTTCGTCTGCGTAGCTGTTGATAGAGGAATAAATAATCTCTTGAATTTTGCCCTCCTCTGTTTGGATCGGTGGAGATATATTTTCAGTGCTCTTACTGGGCATAGTGATAGATCCATCGTATCATGAGGTCTAAGTATAGATGAGAGAGCTGGGACGTGGAATAATCTGTCTGGTTGCCCTGGTAACTGGTTCATGGCGATAAAATCCCAACGTAGTCCCAAATGCACGATGTTATGAATATCATCAAAGCATGTTCTCTCGTAATCCAATGCGTGAATCTCTGACATCCTGGCAGCCGAAGCTAGAGATAACAGGAACAAGGTTTTCTGAGTCAGAAATTCAAAGGATGTAGATTCTAACGGTTCATAAGCCTCACTTGTGAGGTGTTGGAGCACTATATTCAGATCCCAAGCTGGAGCGTGAAATCTTCGTTTTTGATCCTCCAATCCGGAATGCTCGTAGCAAGGCGAGTAACTCTGGGGTCTTGGTTAACTTGACACCCGTTCTCATAGTTATGACAGAGCTTATTGCTGCAAGATAAGTGTACAAAGTTGAGCCTTTTAGATTTTTAGTCTGACATAGATAACATAGGTAGTCAGCCACTTGAGGATGAGTAGCATATCTAGCTGTAAATCCTTTCTTAGTAGCATAATTTACAAAACTGTGCCATTTGTCATCGTATAAGTTGCGAGTTGAGTTACGCAGGGCAAGTGTGACTGCTTTTGCCGCTCTGGCTGAATAACCTCTCTTATTCAGACACGCCTTGATACAATCCATACGTGAAGTTGGAATATTTCTGGCTTTCCGTGCACTTGTTTGGTGTGCGGATGTATTAACAGATTCGAGCACTCTGGAAGTTGTAGTATTGGTTGTCCGATTTCTTGAATAAGAGTTGGAAACCACGTTCTCGCTGGCCAGTAGGGCGCGACCAAAATCAGATGGAGGCTCTGAGTTTGTCTGATTTTGAGTAACACTTGTGGGATTAATGCTGGTGGAGGGAAAGCGTACGCGTTGAGTCCTTCCCACGATATGCTTAGTGCGTCCGTTGCCCATGCTAGTGGGTCTGGAACTGGCGATACGAATGTTGTCAGTTGTTTGTTGAATCGAGTGGCAAATAGGTCTATTAGTGGAGTTCCTATTTCCTTGATAATTTGAGTGAATATCTCTGTGTGGAGCATCCATTCTGTCGGCGATGGTAGGTGTGGCCGAGAGAGAGCGTCTGCTAATACATTCTTTGCTCCTGGAATGTGACATGCTCTGACATGTATGTTGAGATTGTCGATTAATTCGAACAATAGGAAACAGAGACAATAGGTTCGGGGACCTTGTTGAGCCTTGTTTGTTCACATAAAACGCCACTGTCAAATTGTCTGTGTGAATCATCAACTGAGCGTTCTGTAGTAAGTTGCTCCAGTGACTTATGGGCGTTTATGACTGCTTGCATCTCTAGCAGATTTATGTGTAACTTGCTCTCTAGATTGCTCCATAGGCCTGACGCTGTCCTGTTGGCGAGATGGGCTCCCCAACCTTGTAGTGACGCGTCTACGTAGAGATGTGTTTCCGATTCCGGCTCTATTAAGGAGACGTCTACGCAAACATTCGATCTCTTGGTCCACCATAGTAGGTGAGGTTTGACGTGATCTGGTAGACTGAACGGTAGAGAGTCGTTGAGATGTGAATTGATAAGGACTTGCAACGGGCGTAATTGTAGTCTGACTCTGACTGTCAAGTCTTGAGCTGATGTGAGTAATCCCAATAGGCTCCGCCACTGTCGTAGTGGTAGCGGAGAGAGTAAGGCTTGTGGGATTGACTGTTGGATCTTGATCCATCGGTCCTCCAGTACAACTATACGATTCTGGGCTGTTAGAAATCATATACCTAGAAATTGCAGATCTTGTGTTGGCTCTAGGTCTGACTTGAGTAGATTTACTAACCATCCTAGTTGAGTTAGTAACATGATTATAAACTTCAGCTGTAGTCTGGGACGCTGTGGATCTGGATCCACTTGTATCCTGTCGTCTAGGTAAAACGCACTGCGAAGACCTTGACGATGTAGATATGAGATGATAGGTTTCGTCACTCTTGTGAATAACCAGGGGGCCGATGAGATTCCAAAGGGAAGCACTTTCCATTGGTAATGTATTCCGTCTAGGATAAATCTTAGATATTTCCTTGAATCTGGATGAATCGGAATGTGTAGATATGCGTCTTGCAGATCTATGCTGGCCACGTAATCTCTGGGAGGAATTAAGTGCCGTAGTTGCGGTAGGTGTATCATGCAAAACGCTGGCGGTTTGCTTAGATAGTCTCTGTTGAAGATGCTCATATTGTATATGAGACGAAACTTTTCCTTTGAATTTTTCTTGGGCACTAGGAAAACTGGGGAGTAGAAACCTGGTACGCTGTTTCGTTGATCCAGAACTTCTAAGGCCTGTTTGTTGAATAGAGTAGCTACTGTTTCTCTTAACATTGGTAGTTGTAACGGATGGAAGTCAAACCTTGGAGAGATGACTGTCAACGGAGGTTTGGCCTTGAGTTGTATTTGATATCCGTGCTGTAGGATGTTGGATACATAAGGATCTTGTAGGAATCCCCAGTTTTCCCAGTGCAGCTGAAGGCGTCCACCCACTTGAGATGGTTGTACTGGAACGGCTGGGGTATCTCAAGGATGTTTGCTTAATGACATTAGCTAACGTATCCATGGACTTAATCATAAGCACCTCTCTAGAGTCCTTAGACACCTCTTTGGAGACCTTGTCTATGTTACCACCAAAGATATATGGAGATGACCACGGGGCAGCGTAGAGGGATTCAGTAAATTGATTACCCCAAGTACAGGAGGCTAGGAGACCCTGACGACGAGCCATAGTAGTAGCTGCAGAAAGAGCTGACAAGTGATCTGTTAGGAACTGTTGGTCTCTTTTCTGCATGAGTAGAGCCGAATAAATCATCCTATGTTCTTCATCTGTAGAATCTTTGAACTTGGTGATGAGAGTTTCATTGACAGTTCTAGATCTATTCAATCCAAAAACATTCTCCTAGAAATGGTATCCAACTGGGCTAGCTTGCGATCGTCTATCTTGTAATTCCTGGACTTGGCATCGCTGATTAACTTAAAGTTGTCATCAATCTCTTGAGCCTTGAAAAAGGAGTCCATATTGTGGCCTGCAAACTTTTTAGCGTTGAAAACCGGGAAATGTGCCGTCTGAAACTTCGTAGATTTTGTAAAAGCTACATCCAGATTAGCTGGAACCGCTGCTATCGGGTCAATAGGAGGTAAGGAGATAGTGTCAGCATCATCTTCCTTCATCAAATAAGTATGGGCTGAGTTCTCGTTCTTAGACGGGGAAGAAAGTTCCAAACCATTCACCATCCAGTATCTAATTTCTGCATCCGAGAATACGATACCCTCTTCCTCTTCTGACGTCGGATCACAGATAATAGAGTGAGGTGGAGTCCTAGATCTATATGAGGATCGACGAGAAGAATGTGGTGAACGGACTGACGAGTGGCTTGTATAGGGAGACCTTGGTGGAGACTTCCTTGGCGAACGATGAATCCCTTATAGATCTTCTGGATGAAGATGACTTGGAGCCACTTAACCTTCGTGTAGGTATCGAGTCACGAAGTCGAGCGTACGTTGTGACGACGTGGAAGCTCTTCTGGTCTTAGACTGGGACGACGGGATGTCCTGGGATGCAGGTCGCTTCTTGGATATAGCGGACTGCGTTCCACGCTTCTCCCCCGAGGGTAACTCAAGCGGAACACCAGACGGTAGAGGGTCGTCCGCCAACAGTTGACAGGGTATATCTGACTCTGATCTATCAGCCATGACTGAAGTCTGTTTCCATGATCTATCTGCTGCACGTCTCAAGACGCAACATAAATATTTATCAAAGGCAGAATTAGACAATTTAATACAAAAATTGCAACGTGAAACAGTAGAGCATGGCGTAGTACAACTAGGGCATATTAAATGCGGATCAGCAGCAGAGAAACATAATTTACAAACAGTGCAGATTTTCATTAACGCAATCTACTGAGCAAACACGGCGGACCGTGAATAAAACAGTAGAAACACGAATAAATATCAATGCATCATGTATAAGGATACTAGTTACACCTCTATAGAAGATTATAAGAGGTAAATAACTAAATATAAATAAAGGATATAATGTGTAGGGAGACACAGGTGCTCTCACGTCCTGCTCACTGGGCGAAGAAGGAGAGAGTGAGGCACATGTCAGGAGGTGGCGCCCTCGTTCCTGTGCTTACGAGGGGACAGATAACTCGTGGTGAGTACTAATTAGTGATCTTACATTGAAGGGAACTTCAATTGGGAGATACAAGTGTTCCACTGTGTTCGCAAGAAGAAGAAGACAAGCAAGTAGCATGAGTCAGGATAAGGAAAAATAAGCATTTTTCAATTATGTGCTTGCAATGTTGATCAATCAAAGGCAAATGTCAATCAAAAAATGAAACCAAAACATGGAAACGTTGTCATGTAAACTTATGGTAATTAGTTTCTGTTTTTATAGGCTGAACATTGGTAAAGACATACCATGGTCAATGAAGTGCATGCAAGGTCAATCCATGCAAATGACGTCAACTGATTCTGCATCTTGTCATGTCAACTGATGCTGCATCCAGTCGTGTCAACTGATGCTGCATCCAGTCTTGTCAACTGATGCTGCATCCAGTCGTGTCAACTGATGCTGCATCCAGTCATGTCAACTGATGCTGCATCCAGTCATGTCAACTGATTCTGCATCCAGTCATGTCAACTGATTCTGCATCTAGTCATGTCAACTGATTCTGAATCGTGTCATGTCAACTGATGCTGTATCCAGTCATGTCAAATTATTGTTTCTACCACTCACTTGTTTTCACATGAAAGACCTTTGGCAGAGACCTGCACAATTTGATTTGAGTAGCCATTGTTGTTGTTTCTCGAAGATGACATGAAGGGTGTCATGTCTAGCTCTTCTGGGAATGATACAAATGTTGAGATCTTCTTATGGTAGCCTGTGGAATGCTCAAATCTCTGCAACAAAAAATATGATCAGCATAAAAACTCTTTAACATATCATGCAGCCAAAAATGAATCACTTGAGTGTCAAGTTTGGTCTGAATGTCATGCAAGTTAGCTAAAGCTAAAGCTCTCATCTCAATCTCTACAGTTTCTTGCTGTGGAGAGTTGGGCTTGGTGATAGCAATCTGCTTTGGTTGTTTTGAGCCATCCTGTCACAGCAGCCTTTTAATGTTGTAATCTGATGAGTGAGTGAGTGAGTTTAGTTTTACGCCGCACTCTGCAATATTCCAGCTATATGGCAGCGGTCTGTAAATAATTGAGTCTGGACCAGACAATCCAGGGATCAACAGCATGAGCATCGATCTGCGCAATTGGGAACCGATGACATGTGTCAACCAAGTCTGCGAGTCTGACCACCCGATCCCGTTAGTCGCCTCTTACGACAAGCATGGGTTACTGAATATCAATATTCTAGCCCGGACCTTCACAGGTACGTAACCTGATGAGGGCTTGGAAGATAGCTGATTTTTTTGCTTCCTGTGTATCCAAGTGGTGACACAGTAGTGAGTCTTGATAATCCTACCTTATCACATGCTTCTAGAGGAATATACTATATATTATTAAAACAAGCATTACAAGTTAAATGTTTCTTTCTTCAACATATTTTCATTTCCGTTTAAACTTGACTATATATATCACCAAAAGACTCCCACTAGACAAAACACAAAATCACACCAGTAGATATTGGTTAGTACAGTGGTTCAAGCACTTAATACCCCACATGGACACAATGTTTGAAGTCTATTCCATGAGTCCTCGGCTGTGACAAAGCATTCCAACTCACCTTGAGATGGAAGCATGCCACCACTGGCAGTTTCTTCATTGTCAACTGTTTGGTGGACTCTTGGTAGCTGTGACACTTGCTACACTTGATCTTGGCTGAACTGCCCAAGTGCTCAGGCTTGGTAAACCTGCACAGAGAAACTCATTGTTGGGTTTAAGTTCACTTTGAACAGTAAGGTTCGAATAAACACAGTAAAGTGTTTCAGATGCGTACCATTTTGATGGAACCTATGACCATGGTTATGGTGCTGACAACCCTAGAACCATAATCAGGAAGAACTGGGAATCAAACCCATGATCACCGGCTTCTGGCACACCTAACAGATGTTTCTCTGACATTCTGGCACCTTGGACACCAAGGTAAACCAAATGAGAATAAACCAAATATAACAATCTGACCATTAATCGTTCAAAATATGTACATGACGTACCTTTCAGGACAGTAATATGGCAATAATGAAACAATACCACTTGTTAACATAACATGAACTGAATTAAAAGTAGATCATGTTAATCGGTTCTATTGAGCATAAAGTCATCCCTCGCAGTAACGACCTTTGCAATACCGTGACCTCGGTTAAACTGCAGGGTAATCAGTGGCTCCCATAAAACAATTTCCGAGCAAGCACACATCTTCATATCATAGTGTATCTACCAATCCGCTGTTGTGCTCAGTTTAATCATGATGTAAGAGTTAACCAGCGAAATTTAGTATGGGTGGAAATAAGTGTCCATTGTATATCCTTGTATTATGGGTTTTAAAGTGCTTAAGAAACATTCACTGTTTTCTTGATTGATAACACAATCAGCAAAACACACAATTCTCAGCAATAACACCGCCTTGACAGATATAGTTTGTAAAAGAATGACCCGCGTTATGGCGAGGGACCACTGTATTCAAAAACCTTTTCGTTTTTGAAATGTTGTTTGAATGATTTATTAGCATATACATCTTGGTATTTATCCTGTGATGCAATTAGTAATTAGAGCTTTAGATATTAAATATTCATCCAAGTTAATCTCACAAATAGAATGTAAACACCATAATCAATACTCTCAAGATGTCTGCGATAAACCTGCAAAAAGGGATATATTTTTAATATTTGGATTTATGTATATTCTTCACATTCCTAATGTTAACTGACAACTGATAACATCTACTGTCTATAAAAAGGATTGATCAATCCAATACACTCAATAAGACAGAAAGTTAGCAAATCGCCTACCTTTTCAAGCACTCAATCAATGAGGTAGGTTCATATGTCCCTGGACTGTTAGTGTAGCCTGGAATATACAATACATTCTATCAGCAGAAGTCTGTATGACACTTGACTGCACACAACTTGAATCAAGTATTTCTGGACTAAATGAAAATACTGGAATTTTACATAATACTTTATTAATATCTCCCAAGCAAGCCTTCTGTGATCTGGGCCATTTTCAATCCCAGATCATTTCACATCCTTCCAGTAAAGCAAAATGTAAGGGGAAAAAAACCCAAACATCACTATCATTTTTGAAGGGGATCTTAAAGCTATGGGTCATAGGTCGCTCAAAGGTTAGCAGATGCGACCTTCTACTAGGAGTTGTTAAACTCAGTATAGCACCGTAACGAATAATACTGAGCGAGAGAATACTTTGACTGTAGTAGCACTGCAGTAGTACGAAAAACTTGGGAACACTTGTATAATAAGACGCAGTAGGGAACTGACAAGAAGTACTTGTACAATATTCATTTTGTTTGCAGCTAAAGAGTAAACCTCAAAGTGATACATGCCACTGACAACACCTAGGGCAGAACCTAACATCTCATGCATGTTGCTGAGGGACTTCAGTCCACAATGAAGCTCAATCTAAGATTCAACCCCATGACATGTGGGTCCTGCCAAAGTTAAGGTAGGTAACTCTGGACAGTGAAACTGTTTTTATGACCACAGACACCCTTTAACTATCAAAGTCATTATTTGCAACAAGACTAACACTTCTCTCAAGCTTCATCATTTGTAACATGATCTATAATTCACTGACAACGTTACAACTGAACATGTACACAACATACATGAAACAGATTATTACATGAAACAGATTATTACATAAAACAGATTATTACATGAAACAGATTATTACATAAAACAGATTATTACATGATTATTACATGAAACAGATTATTACATGAAACAGATTATTACATAAAACAGATTATTACATGAAACAGATTACATGAAACAGATTATTACATAAAACAGATTATTACATGAAACAGATTATTACATGTGAATTTAGTACATACTGAATATATGAAATGTGTGTCCATGTCCAATAGTTCTTACTCTCTGACTGAGACAAGTGTCACACAGGTTCGTCTGTAATGGTTTGCTAGAAATGGAACTTCTCCTCGACATACCTGATTCAATAGAGAGGTGAGAGTTGTTGTTGTTGGAGGAAGGGGGCCCTGGACCCAAGTCTAGTGAGATGTCCCATATAGGGTCAATCGTTGTGGAAACATTACTGAAACAAGACACACAAACTGATTTAGAAATGACCAACACATGGAACACATATCAGGACATGCCCAGTGTAAAGAAATGGACCCTGCTGCACAAAGCTATCTTAGCACTGAGCTGATCGTACCTTTAACATTATGATAGTCATACTAATAGTAATAGTGGTAAGATAGCTTTGTTATGGGACCCAGATCAGCAGGAACATTCACATCACATACTACAGGTGAGGTGAAATTGGGTTTAACATTGTGCTTGAGGATATTTCGCTCATATGACGACATGCATGCGTGTGTATATGTATGTGTATGTGCGGCTGCTTGTACTAGCCCAGACTGAAGCTGGTTTCATAGTGCTAGCTCAATAAGATACCATGCCGCAGTGAAGCATGAATACCCCACTCAGACACAGTATACTGACTCCAAGCCGACCAGTCCTTGTTGTACCCATTAATGCCGAGCGCCAGGCAGGGACCAACAAGTACCATATTTTAACGTCTTTTGGTATCACGCGGTCGGGGATCGAACCCGCGACCTTCCGCTCTCCGGGCGGAAGCTCTAACCACTACACCACAGAGGCGGCCCACATACCACAGAATCCATACAAGACATGGCATCCCCGCCTACCAATATGTCAGGACAAACAAGAGGATGATCTGTATATTGCTCTTACAAGTATACATATAAGTTCATACAAAACAGGGACAAATTATCTGACACTTTGGCTGTATCCATTTCTAAAATTAATACATGCTACAAAATATGTTATGGAAGAGCACCCCTCTCACGAAGTTCCCAATCAGTTACTGCATGTAAATCACCACATCCCACCCAACCACGAAGTTCCCACCCCACCAACTACTGCATGTACCAACTCACCACATCCCCCAACCCAACCACTTCCAACTCCAGTCCCACCCCACCAACTCCAGCACAATCCCGTCCCACCAACTCCAGCACAATCCCACCCAACCAACTCCAGTACAATCCCACCCCACCAACTCTAGCAGAATCCCATCCCACCAACTCCAGCACAATCCCACCCCACCAACTCCAGTACAATCCCACCCCACCAACTCCAGCACAATCCCACCCCACCAACTCCAGTACAATCCCACCCCACCAACTCCAGTACAATCCCACCCCACCAACTCCAGTACAATCCCACCCCACCAACTCCAGTACAATCCCATCTTACCAACTCTAGCACAATCCCATCCCACCAACTCCAGCACAATCCCACCCCACCAACTCCAGTACAATCCCACCCCACCAACTCCACTACAATCCCACCCCACCAACTCCAGTACAATCCCATCCTATGTCTTTAATAGTTAAAACATTTTAGAGATTCATTCTAGTTTTACATCTGTATCTGTGATATTCTATTTGTTTATACTGTCCTTCGTTGACAGATTTTTATTATTTAATAATATGTATTATGATTGTATTACTTGTTTTATTACATGATATAGCTGAGATACTGCCAATGTGACTCACTCTTAAAATCTTGAGGTATGCTGCGGCCAGGGATTGAACTACTGACCCTTTGTCCTCCAGACAATCTATCCACAAACGATCCGCTTGCCCAAAGAGGCAGTCAAGCTTAGTGATTAAAACACCAAATGGAATTTAACATTACAATTTTGGAATGAATACTGACACTTACTTCTTAGTAGGTGTGTGAGTCAGTCAGTCAGTTTAGTTTAGCAACAGCTTTTATAATATAGCGTTTACCAATATTCCACCATATCAGAGCGGGTGACACCAGAAATGGGCTTCACACATTGTACCAATGTAGGGAATCGAATCCTGGCCTTTCGGTGTTATGAGTGAACGCTTTAACCACTAGACTACCCCACCGCCCCTTCTCAGTAGGTCCAGACAAAGTCCATGACATCATCCTTTCATGGTAAATGAGAAACATAAGACCATCTTGTGTTACTTAAACCTTTATGTTGTTGGAGTCAACTTACTTGCACTCTTTGCAGGTGACATCTGACTGCAGGCCCCCGGTGAAAATTTGGTCAATGATACAGTTACAGTGATGCGGATTGTTAGAGTTGAGGCCATTGGTACCTGATGAAACAGAACAGAATCATCATACCCTCTCAATATTTGGAAAAGATATCTTCTCTAAAGTCATAAACAAGCATTTAGAGCTGCACACAACACTTTTCACAGCTGTAGATTTTATGAAGAACCAAAGCCAAATTAAATCCAACAAGAAGACAAAGTCATCACTATCCCCCGCAATGGCAAAATACTCTTCATGAATATGTCTACGAGTTATGATTATGTCAAATGTTTTGGTGTGCATATATAAAAGTGGAAGGAGATTATTGAAAGGTTTTAAAAGTTCTGCTCCAGAAAGAAGCACAAGCACCAATTTCAATCTAAGTCAAACTTGTTGCCATGGAAATGCCAAAAATATTTTATTCAGAATTCCAAAACTACCAAAAGGCACCAGTACACCACCAGACTAATCTATGTACCAAGTTTGCGGGGATAATAAAAACATTGGCTTAGTTTTGATTTCTATTTGCCCATCAGCTTCATCTTTCACATTTATTTGACAGATATCAGACAAATAAGAAAACACAAGAAGTATCCATATATTGATCAAATGCAATGTATAGTATGTTGCCTTTGCAATCCTGTAAGGAGATGACAAAGCCCTTCATAAGTTCAAGGCATGTTACCCTACATATAATTAATAATAATTAACCTGCACTTGTAATTAGGGCTGCAACGATTATCAAAAATCGAACCTTACACCTTTATTTCAATTTTCGATAATCACCATCACTATTTCGCTAATTGGACGATGGATTTCACGCTAAAAAGCCGACTCACTTGAAAGTCGTAAGTTTTTCGAGCATTTCAGCTTCAGGGAAAGCTAATGTGTAACATCCGAGTGCCGCAACATGCTGTATTTGTTTTGTGGACGTGAAATATAAAACAGGATCGACAACAAACTTGGCCAGCCACTTAAAAAGAAAACAAAATGTGGACGTCACTGATAGCTTGGTGTCAAAAACTGAACCGACAGTGGACAAACCTGGCACAAATGAGCGGAGTGCTAGTGGACAGCTGAAACTTAGTGATGTTGTAAATATATCTAAATTGAATGACACTTGGAAAATGGCGATAACCAAGGCTATTGGTGGTTACCTGGTGCATAATATGCGCCCATATTCAACTGTTCAAGATGATAGTTTCAAATTTATGATCAGTGTTTTGAAGCAGAGATATAGTGGAGCCAGTGAGAGATTTTTTTCTGCAGCAAGAGATTTGGTCACTGCCTAAAGGACATGCCTCACAAGTGACCATGTGGATATGCTTGTGTTTCTTTCCAATAATATGATCATTCCGTATGATCATCTGCAATGATCTGCACCGAGTCAGACTGAGAGCACTTTGCAGTTGACTTTCGAAATTTTGACTTTATTAACTTTTATGTTCCTTGACATGGGGACAAGAAAGTGAAAAGCGCTGTTCTGTGTTTAAACATGATATTTTATGTTTGAAAAAGGTTACATCATTTACATTCCTGATTTTTCCTAGTCAAATCTTGCAAAAAGTTTCAGTATGATATGTTTTGTTTCATAAATGAGTTAAATGAAATTTGATGTTGATGAAAAGAATAAAAAATTATCGAATCGAGGGTCCAATATTGATAATCGAAGTCTGGGTGAATCGTTGCAGCCCTACTTCTAAAAGCATCACTATTTTATATTTCCCCAACTGTACAACTCCAAAATAGCCATTGCCATACAGCTCCATTGCCATTTTGTTTTGTCATCAAAAAACAACTATATACTATAAAATCAAAAAGTCTTTTCCCTATTACCGCAGATAAGCCGATCTCATAGATAAGCCGACCCCCTAATTTGACCCTTAAAATCAGTGTCAAAATGGTATGTTTTGTACATAAGCTGTCCTCCCGCAATGGGGTCCAAAACGCAGCCAACTCAGACCACAGACAACTGGCAGTTATCGATAATTATAACTTCGCTTATCTTACCCCATTCCTTGTGCGTACAACTACCGCTTACCATGTTCGTGGGGGTATGTTTTTCGCTCCAAACGCGATATCACCAATTTCACATATTTTTATCACCAATCACGAACTGCTTACCATGTTCATGAAGGTCCGTAAAACATTAGTGTTGATTATACATATTTTACATTTATAGAGCAAAACCTGTAATTAAATTACACAATGCTAGGATATATTTCTTTTGGTTAAATAATAGTGTTAGGTATAATATTATACCTAAGATTATTGGGTACGTTTTAACTTGATCGCCGGAAATGAGTGCACAGCTGATTGTTATTAATCCCTGCATATAATACAATGCCCAGCAAAAACAAATTAGAACTGGAAAGATAAATAATCTTGTCTAGCTATGTTTAATTGCAAATTTGACGTCTTTACTGACAAAGTCGTTTTCTCTTGTTCGTTCACGCAAAACAATATGATGTTGTTTTCTTACTGGTCACCAGAAAAAAGGTTTGACGAAAGTGTTACCCATAGCTAAGCCGACCAAAAACTAGCCTTCATATTGTTGACAGTCTACCAGTCTGAACTGTAAATGTAGAAAGACTAGACATTCACAGGGAAGGAAACCTTTCAAAATTTCCACTAGACCACAGGGCAAGTGAGAGGACAATAATAAGTGGTCCTGTCTGTACTTCACTGGTCTAAAATAACATTTGTAGATTTATTTAACTATCAATACAAAATTCACTGGCCACCAAGACCTAGATAAAAAGAGATTGTTTACTTGTCAGGTGTACAATTCACCCACTTTGTTTTCATTTGGAAAGCTTACCCTTGCAATGTCTATGTAGAACATCTAGAGCAGCTATGAGGAACTCGTGAGCATCCTGTTGTTCATAGCCAGCTAGATGCCGAGCATTGGTCCACACCAAGTGCAGCAGTCGATACGGGATGTGAGGTGTGCGAACCCCTGAGTAGAACTGTAACACACAAGAAGTGAGTGAGTGAGTGAGTTGAGTACACTGCCCTCAGCAATATTCCAGCTATATGGCGGCTGTCTGTAAATAATCGAGTCTGGACCAGATAATCCAGTGATCAACAGCATGAGCATCAATCTGCGCAATTGGGAACTGATGACGTGTCAACCAAGTCAGCGAGCCTGACCACCATTAGTCGCCTAAGCAGTCACCTTTTGTGGCAAGCATGGGTTGCTGAAGACCTATTCTACCCCAGATATTCACGGGTCAACACACAAGAAGAGTATGATTTACAAATACAACTCCAGACCTAAAACCGCAACCAGCAAAGAAGGTCATGTACACATACAAGGCATGCAACACGTAGGTATTCAGCAGCTTAACTGGCCACTGTTGGTTTCAGTAACCAACTGGCTGAGATATAGGAGATGGCAAATATTTCTTGAGAAGAGCATAGGTTTCTATTAATATATGGGTCTTAAAAATCTTTTACTCATGAAGATCTGAAAACCCTCCATAAATATTGTCAGGTGATCAATCAAATAAGCATAGTAGCATTAGGGTTTCCAGGTTTTCTGTACAACCATGTGGTTCTGTACAGTGAAATGGAAGCAATGGAGACTGTTACTTCATCACTGTAAGTGCAACAGTGTCTACATCCCAGAGGCAAACTAAGGAATATTTCTATCACTTTTCCATTGTTGAGACTGAATATATTCCTATTAAATAGGTAAAGCAATGGAGCGGATTCATTTGAGAAAACTGAAATCTGATAAGTTAAAAAACAAGCATCCTTCATTTACATTAGCACATCAAAGATAACTCAGGGTTCACGAGATTCTCGGAGGGTCTATCGGGACTTTCATACAAAGAGGTATTGTAACAACGTAACAGATCGTATTTAGTGAGATTACCTCCTGAAACAGACGTGACATCTCACAGACGAGGCACTGCTTGGAGTTGCTGGATGTCTGACAGTTGTGCTGGTCTGACAGGAAGTAGTCACGGAGGATGGGTGTGTGAGTAAGGGCCTGGACAATGCAGTTCATGAAGCAGGTGTTGCCCAGATTGATCAAACCTCGAAGGCCTGTCAATGACAGAGGAAACAAATACACAACATTAGTAGCTTGCGTGTAAGTGCTTCACAATTTGCTCAAACCTTCTAATGTGCTGAGACTACAAGTGTATGTACACAAATGAACAGTTGAACTCTCTGAACTACTCAGAATTAATGAAATCCCAAGCTCAGGGCCAATCAGAATGCACTTACAGCATGTACAACCTGTCATTCAAAGCTACATGTTACAAGAGTGAGTGAGGGAGTGAGTATGGTTTTAACGCACTTTCAGCAATACTCCAGCAATACCAAGGTGGGAACACCAGAAATGAGCTGTCAAAGTATTATTTGTTACACTCCTAACAAACCCCAGTAGAAGGTCGCGTCAGCTAACCTTTTGAATTGACCAATCAGAACACAGCTTACAAAATCATGAAAGTTAACATTCGCAGATGCCGTTCGAACTTTTACCTCGAAAACTTGAATGATTCTGAATGCTATTTTCCGCACGATCGTTTCCGAGTGTTACACATGGAGGACGCATTATTCACAACAGCGAGTAAACAGTCGCTGAAAATAGCGTTTTTGTCAATATTCCAGGATGTCATCTTGTGGAAACATAAGCTAATAGTAACCATGTCATCAGAAACCCCTAAGCGTATATACTGCAGCTCAAATATCTGTGTTTTATGCAGATTTTCTTGAGCGATCAGTGTCAGTGACCAGGGCAAAAGAAAATCCAAAAACTGGTTTGTAAGTCCCGTTGAACCCTAAAATAGTAGCCGTTGTCTGATTGGTTAAATCCGTTCATCTGTCTCGCGTTTGATTGGACGGTTATAGGTCGTTCAAACATTAGCTGACACGACCTTCTACTAGGGTTTGTTAGACTCAGTATAGAAGTGAAATGAATAATACTGAGCCTAAGTTTACTTAGACTGCAGAAATGAGCTTCACACAAAGTACCCATGTGGGGAATCAAGCCTGGGTCTTCAGAGTGACGAGCAGACGCTTTAAACATTAGGCTACCCAACTGCCCCCAACATGTTACAAGAGTAGTCACAAGACCAAACCCACATTAGCGCCATGTTAATATCTCATCGATGAGGAAGTGATGGGACATACCTATGGTTGATCTCTCTTCAACTTTCCTTCGTTTGGGGTTCAGTTTCAGAAGAGCAACCTCTTCTTCTGATGGGTCCCATGGAGTCAGTGACCCTTTCAGGCCTGCAAATGTGACAGGAATTCATGTTACCATAGTTACAGGTAGATGGATGGTACAAGACACCAGTCTCACATGCATTTATCTTTATTCTTAATATTTTTCACATAAGTTAAATGAGATGATTTACTGAAAATAAACTTTCATGTGGATGAACATGATGAATATATCATTGTACTTTTTAGCCAAATTGTAACTATTAGTTCATCATAGATAATACGTAGTTCACTCCACTAAAAACACATCTCCCTTCAAACATCAGTACATCTCATTCCAGCCATCATAATATTATTCTGGATATTATGGATGCAAGAAGAATGACAGGATATTACATGTGTCCGACTGACCAAGCGAGGATGCCGATTTCCGCCCCAGTCCATAAGCCAACAGCTCTAGTTCTCGGTCATACACGTAGTCATGGCAGGAGAAACAGTAGATGGCTCCATACACCATGTCAATAGCTGAAATAAACCACAATTCAAGTAAGTAATCTATATATGATAAGAGACATGATAAGAACAACAGTCCATGTTTTCATGTGTGTATCAAACAACTGTTGCAGAAAACAGCAGAAAGGGTATAGCTGAGTACTAGTTGAGTAGTAGTTTATTTCGGTAAATTTGTCGAAATAAACTACTACTCAAGAAATTTGCCGAAATAAACTACTACTCAAGAAATTTGCCGAAATAAACTACTACTCAAGAAAGGGTATAGTGAGTGAGCATGATTTTTACGCCGCTTTCAACAATATTCCAGCAACATCACAGCAGAGGACACCAGAAATGGGCTTCACGCATTGTAGCTTTGTGGGGAATCGAACATGGGCCTTCGGTGCGACATGCGAACATGGTAACCCCTAGGCTACCCCGCCGCCATCATCACTGAAAGAACTTAAGGCTTGTTCAGTATCATGAGATATCTGAAAATAAATTTAACTTTCACATGGTTTTAATGTGTCCAATAAGAACTACTCATGGATAATTTTCTTAGCAACCACAGTGCTTATACAGCAAATGTGGTACACAGGGCATAAACTTCACAACCACATACAAACCTACCCCTTAAAGATAAATACAATGCATTCATGACAGTTTACAGTTTGGATCATTCGTCTCACCAAGGTTGTGTTTCTTGCTCCTGGCATGGTCATGGATATGTCGATCACTGTAGCAGCCAAAGTAGACACAGAACAGACAGGCATGGAGACGTACACAGTGCTTCCTGCATGTGTGGCAAAGACAGGACTTGGCCTGAAAAGTTACATACAGCACATAAGTAAAGAGAAATTAAGGATTTTCTGCACACTGTTTGTGCCTGACACATATTTTTGAAACTACAGCTGGAAGTACAAATTTAAATTACTGAAATTACAAATTTTACAATACATGCACTGACTGAAACGTATATAATTTGGAAGCAATTGTACCAACATGTGACCCTGAAGATCCTGTTACTATTGGTCTTCAGCAACCCATGCTTCTCGTAAGAGGCGACTAATGGGTACGGGTGGTCAGGCCTGATGACTTGGTTGACATGTCATCACATCCCAATTGGGTAGATCAATGCTCATGATGTTGATCACTGGATTGTCTGGTCCAGACTTAATTATTTACAGACCATCGCCATACAGCTAGAACATTACTGAGTATGGCATCAATCAAGCAACATGTTTAGTCATAACATGAATATTTGATACCAAAATATGAAAATGTACCCAAATGTACCTGAAATGGTATATTCAAGTGATGTTTGTAACTAAGCATCAGCATGACACCATCCAGACACCAGCCACTGTAGTGCACGGCTTCACCTTGCCTATTACAACACATATCATTACCCGTATCATTAATTTCTAAGAGGCATGACTACAACTAAGTCAGGATTTGATTTGTTTGTTGTTTAACTCCGCACTCAGGAATAATACAGCTATATGGTGACGGTCTGTAAATAATCGATTGTAGACCAGACAATCCAGTGATTAGCATCATGAGCATCTTACTGATCAATTAGGATATGATGCTGTACTTCAAGTCAGCAAGCCTGACCACCAGATCTCATTAGTTACCTGATAGAAGAAGCATGGGTTACTGAATTCTAATACGAGTCAAGAAATGAGTTCAGTCATTACAAGATTTTACAAGATATATTGAAAACAAAAGTAAACATGAACATTCTGTCGATTGAAACACAGTGAAAACAATGTTCTTGTAAGCACTGTATTGATTAACATAAAGCTGATGTGTATTTTGGACTCTTTTTTGTATTCTGGATGAAACCTGTACTAAATATGCAGGTTCTTGCAGCAGTTTTATCATTCCAGCCTTAGACCAGGCTAAGAAATGCACTGTGAAATTGAGAGATTACAAAAAGTAATCAAACTGTCAGTCAACAAACAAAACAGTTTGAACAGCATGCATAAATTAGCTACTGCTAAAAGTTTCACCCTGATAATGTGTCACACTTGTTTGTTATGGAATTGCAGAAATAACAGCATGTGTCAGGTACAGAAACATGCCAAAAGATTCATGTTCGGACAAAGAACGATACTTCACAAAACCATGCAATCACATTTACATATAGCAGGGGTGGAAATAACCCATTGCCCGACACCAGAGTCCAGTGTTTTTTTCTGTCGGGCAAGCAAATTTGTATATCACACTGTACCGGTGTCCAGTTGATATTCCAATGTTAATTATGTTGTTTATTTAAAAAATCAACAAGCAAATGGCCGGTATAGTGGAAAAATTATCAGGGCAAGTGATTTTACATGTGACACTGTACCGGAGTACACTAGCAATTTTAAAGTTATTTCCACCCCTGAATATAGGTATTATTTGAATGAGAATGTAACTTGTCCATCTGAGAAAAACGAAAAGAAAATAATATGTCATATCCAAAACATTGAACTGTAGTCAGAAATTTCAATGAACAACAACGTATTTGAAATGACTGAAACAACCACTATGTACACCTTGTTTCATGTACTGAAAATATGAGAGGAAAATGTATTTTGTTGAAATATGGTAACAAGAAGGACACTTAAGTATCGTGTTTGAGAGTCATGTACAGATATACTACATAGCAGTACTTTGCACCAGAATATCGGATAAATTTCAGCTTATATTTCAAATTAGCACTTGTTTTTTTCCAATGTCTTTTGTTTGTTTTTGTCAATTTGAAGTCACCGTATTTCACGGAGAACCAATCGACTGTTCACAGTTAATTTGAATTTGGTCGCAATTTATCATTTCATGAGTATTTTGTTATTGCCACAAAGCGTACTGGTTCAAAACAACGTAAAAAACACACCTCTCCCAACACAATCGTCTGACATTTCAAGGAAACCCGGATTTCGCTCAACAGAGTATCAAGTGCATGTAAGCAAAGGAGCATCGCAAACATAAAAGCTAATGCGTAATAGTGGTCTCCTCTGTTAGAAATTCGTAATCTTTACTTATGATAAAGAACAGAAAGTGAACAGTGCATTAAAACGGTCAAACATTTTATTGTGAAGTTTCAAGAGAGGTTTTTCACCTTCTGTCGTCTTGTGTCAGCTGTGGTGCAGGCGATAAAATAGGAATGAATGAAACGGAAAGGTTCGGTCCCTTTGGCTGCCTTGAAACTACTTAAGTGTGAGCAGCCATCGACACTCATCTTTCCCCCCTCCTGTGACTTTCGAGCGACGCAAACTTCATGTGAACTTCGAGTCAGATTTATCACCAAAATGCTCAACAAAGGTTATGCGCAGAGCAACTCAATCCGGCAGTGTCTGCGCACATGCGGTGTTGTTGACTTACACTTCCGTTTCCTGTGTTTTGATTCGATAGGGTGGATTGTCTAAACACAAGTTTACCTCACCAGCAAGACACTCCCAGATATCAAAGCACCTTGAATTTATTTTACACGTATGAACATGTTCTCCATAAGTTGATACATTCTTAAGCATTCACATAGTGCTGTCGTTGACCTTTTGCACCCGAAAAAGTTTTCTTATAAATTTTGGACAAATTTCTCGGAAGGTTAAGTACACGAATTTAGCCCTTTGCGGTGAAGGAAATTTAATGACAGTTATTATATTGATTATAAGTTGTAATTGACATGAAGTCACAGTTAAACGCTAAATAGTAACTCGTACCAATAAAATTTAATCGAACAAAACACTAAAGTAAAGGATACTTAGTTTGAGTGACAAAAATAATGAAAAATCCGGAGTCAAAAAGCAAAATGTCCTTGCATTAAAAATAGAAATATCCATGTCCACTTTGGTAGTCAATTTCTCAAAGCTCAGTCGAACACTTTGGAACCATGGAATTTGCTAGTTAGAGTATGCCCCCACTGCTGTGTCAAAAATCACAAAAATGGGACGGGCGGGTACACATTTTGTGTGTGGATTGTTTGTCGTAGTATAAAAATAAGTTTTTCTTATGCTATCATTGCTCCTCATTTGTCTGGTCCAGAGTGGATTACTTGGCCAGAATCATGATACAGTTGTAATACTGCTGACTGGGAAATGGCTTGGTTAAACAACTTTCTCAGGCTAATGGGAGTGCCATGATAGGCCTACTTCACAAGTCAATACAAATTGTGATACTTGAGTGATGATGATATGACTTGTTCTAAAAGTATTATGCAGTCAGATTGTGCATTTTTTGTTTTGTGATGGGTGGTAAGTTAATTCTGAAACAGGAACCTGTCACAATGAGTAATTACACAACTTTGCAAATATTAGTGTTTCAGTAATCAAATGGGATGTGCAATGTAGAACATAACATCAGGTGTCAATTTGTGTGATGGTTAATTACACTGGTGAATCAGGACACCAACTGACTAATATTCCATGTTATTCCCTAAGCAATTACCGGCAATAGGTGGTTGAAATAGAATGTTCAGTGCAAGCACAAATGAACTTTAGTCAAATATAATAGAAATAGTCAAATACTATGAAATAGAATCATGTAATATATATCAATAATACTCATTCATATGCGAACAACCTTTAATGAATGATAAATAACCGTCATGATTATGATCTATTTCCTATGATGTTTGTTTATGCTTCAGAATGGTGCAGTCAATCTGACATGTCCAACTGAGATGGGTAAAATCTCTTGGGAGGTCGTTGGTAGTAGCGTAGTTGGAGCTCCCATTGGCTTGCTGTGCCTGCTGTATATTGTATGGGGATACAGGAAGAAGACCCAAGTCAAGGACAAAGTTGTTCTTATAACAGGCGCGACATCTGGATTAGGAAAAGGTATGTTCGCTATACCATGAGAACATCATCATCTGATTTAATCACATACAGGGGCATACACCTCAGTGTGTCTGAACTATTCAGGGTACTAACTGGTTGATTAGGGTAACAATAGACTGCCGATGTGGAGTTAATGAGCTAATCCCCACCTGTCAATCCAGGACAGCTTTAGCATCTGATTGATTGGTTTGATTTTGATTATGTTTGCTTGATGCTTAGCAATATTCCAGCTATATGGTGGCTGTCTGTAAATAATCGAGTCTGGACCAGACAATCCAGTGATCAACAGCATGAGCATTAATCTACGCAATTGGGTTGTACCAACCAAGTCAGCGAGCCTGACCACCCGATCCCGTCAGTCGCCTCTTATGCTAAGCATGGGTTACTGAAGACCAATTCTAACCCAGATCTTCAGGGGTGACTTGATCTGAAAATGTGAACCTAATTCTCATCTCCTTGTGAGTTTATATCATTACACTGAGCATTTGCCATTTTCATGTGAAATTTACAGGTTAGATAATGGTTATAATATATTACCAAACCATTTGAAACTTGAAATCATTTAATTGTTATTGCAAAGAATAGTAGATGACACTGAGTGAACATAGCTTGACAATACATTTAAATACTCTTCGCCAATCATTTTAAAATCATATCAGGCATGTCAACTAGTGCGGACATTCACTTCAGTAAATTGTTAACGCTAATTCCGATTCTTTTAAATGTAATCACATCTTTATACACATAATCATTTTTGATACCTATTTTTAATCTGTGGTGCAGGCGCTTTGAGGTTAAACCCAATCAGGAACGGTCTATGGTAGATCACAAAGTTGTTTATTCAAAGTCTTTCAGTACACAGACATCTTGGCACTGTTCCACAAAGTGATCTCAGTGCCAGGACTGGCAGAAGTGTCTGATATGGCAATGTTCAAAATTATGATTTTGTCTGGAATCTATACGGTTTGCTTCTATGGGATTTGAACACAGGGGCCCTCAAAAGTTTGAGTTTTTGAATGGTGGTCATGACAAGGACATCTTGAGCCTTTCATGCATAATTTCAAGTTGTAAAATATGGGAGTTATGATCTTTTGAGCATGAAGATCACTTTGTGGAATAGGGCCAGTGTACAGTGATTCCAAATGTCAGACTCAAGTACTATCACTTATTTGATTAAACCAAACCTGAGCTTATTGGTACGTGTTTCAATTGCATACAACTTCCTAGTACATTAAGACTGTTTGTTTTTCAGTTAGTACTAACAAAGCAGACTGAAACCGCACTCACTCATTCAAACAGATGTATACTGTAGCTCTCCTTTCTCTTCTGCAGCATGTGCAAAGATCTTCCTGCAAGCTGGCTGCAATGTGATCCTGGCGGGTAGGAGTGTTGACAAGCTGAAGGAGACTTCAGATAGTCTCAGAACTGAGTTAGGAGTAAGTAGATATGGAAGTACTGTAGTAATGATGTACACTGTTATGAGTTTATGTTGACTGGGTAAGTCGGACATCTCAGTGTATTGAGAATTGTGTAACAATGTAACAACATACTTTATGTTGTTACCAATATGAAGCAGAACAGCTGTGAAACCTGGTAGTTCATCGGATCATATTTCTCTTTCTCTCTGTCTCTGTCTTTCCTCTCTCTAGCTCTCTCTCTCTGTTGTACGTTCTCTGTCTCTCTCTTCTCTATCTTTTGCTCTCTCTGTCTGTCTCTCTTTCTCTTACTCTCTCTCTGTCTCTCGTTCTCTCTGTCACTGGCTCTTTCTCTCTCCTTTCTCTCTCTCAAATAGATATCTTTCATTGATTTTGCATTTGTTAATTTACTCTATCACTCAAGAATGCATATGAGGGATTTATGGCTTAGTTATGAAACTAGTTCTACCGCAACGCACCCAAGTCAAATGAATACTGTTCAGTGCGTGACCTCTTTGTGCAAACCCTCACATTACCTGATACTGAAACATTGTGTTGAGTAGATGACAAGTCTGTGCATTGATTGAACCAGGTCATGTCTTGATCAATAGGTTAAGAATAGCACCCACAAGGCAATGTGATGAATTGTTTTCACAGTGATGGATGAGTATAGTGTGCCCAATCCTTTGAAATGTTTCTACCTCCAAGTAGTGTAGAACTACCTGTTGTGGTGTTTCAGAAGAGTCTGGTGCATGATCCAAAGCTTCTGGTGATGGATCTGGAGGACGTGCCCAGTCTGGCCGGGAAGGTGAAGGACGCCCTGCGATTCCATGGTAGGGTGGACATCCTGGTCAACAATGCTGGCATCAGCTACCGTGGTCAGATTGAAGACACAGCTCTGGAGGTGGACCGGAAGGTCATGTTGGTCAACTACTTCGGTCAAATAGCCATAACTAAAGGTATTACAATTCTGTCATGTGTTACTTTGGTCAAATGGCCATAACTGAAGCTGTTTCATTCCTTGATGGTCAATGGGGTAGCTTAGTGTTTGAAGCATTCGCTCATCATGCTGAAGACCCGGGTTCGAATGCCCACATGGGTACAATGTGTGAAGCCCATTTCTGGTGTCCCCTGCAGTGATGGTGCTGGAATATTGCTAAAAGCAGCGTAAAACCAGATTCACTCAATCCGTGGTGATACTATGGCAAGAGCTGGATCAAGGGAAGTAATTCAGTGACCATAGTCCATGGATGCTTTCGATACAATCAGTTTTCACTCAGTGTTACAGATATAAATGTAGGAAATTATACACTATCATATCTGGATAAGTATGTGATACATGACATGTTTGAATTTCTGTAAAATTGCTTCTTGTGTCTGCAGCTCTCCTCCCTACCATGCTGGATCAAGGTGGCGGTTATATAGTCGGCATCAGCAGTGTACAGGGGAAATTCTCCATTCCATATAGATCAGCATGTGAGTTGTGTCATGTGTTCAGTGTAGATGATACTGTTTAACTTTGCTAGTACATACTGTAACAGGCTCATAAAATGTGGCTTATCAGTGTAAATTCATGGCCTGGCTGTCACTTCTTTCAGTACATATGTGTGGTAGAAATTTATATTTGTAAGCATTATCTACCCCTACACGATACACTTTTTCACTTAACCTAAATCTTTTAAATCAGTCACAAACACAAGCATGGAAGCATAATGGAAGTTTCATGATAAGCAGAAGGTTCTGTTTTAAAAATAGTATGAAGGCAGAGGAACTGTCACAGCCATTCTGTCACCATAATAAGTCACTTGGGCCCATGTGACATAATTTTAGGACATGACAACACTGTCAAAATGTCTACAGAGGAAATGTCCTTTCTTGGATTACTATTCAAAGGGTTAAAATGAAACTAACCAACATGGCTCAGTAATATCTGGTATGTGCACAATTCTACAGTTATGGATTGTAACCAGGAACAGGCCATGTAAACACCGGATACAAAATTCTTGTGTTATGTGTCAAATTGACAGACTGATCATTGGATGCACAATTTATTTACAGCCTTTGGTTCAGTTAAATACACTGGAGACTGTCTGGGACCACAATTTTGAATGTTAATAGTTTTGGATGATTGAAGATTTCAGTTTCAATTTTCGATTCTAAAATACAAATGTAGATGTATTTTACAGTGTGTGATATAGGAAATGTAGGCATAAAACGTAAATCTGTCGCTTTAAGGTTACTAAGTAATGTTTCTCTCTGTCCTTCCAGATTCTGCATCAAAGCATGCATTTCAGGCATTTTTCGACTGTCTACGAGCTGAAGTTGCTGATAGAAATGTTAAAGTTAGCATCATCAGTCCAGGGTACATGTGCACTAATCTCTCCCAGAATGCAGTCTGTTCTGATGGATCAAAACATGGAGGTAGGATCAGTGAGAATGTTGTGTAGTCCTGGTACATGCAGCTGTGAAGATGTGTGATATTGGCACATGCAGCTGTGATGATGTGTGATACTGGTACATGCAGCTGTCATGTGTGATATTCGCACATGCAGCTGTGATGATGTGTGATACTGGTACATGCAGCTGTCATGTGTTATAATGGTACATGCAGCTGTGATGTTGTGTGATACTGGTACATGCATCTGTGATGTGTGATACTGGTACATGCAGCTGTGATGATGTGTGATACTGGTACATGCAGCTGTGATGTGTGATACTGGTACATGCAGCTGTGATGATGTGTGATACTGGTACATGCAGCTGTAATGATGTGTGATACTGGTACATGCAGCTGTGATATTGGTACATGCAGCTGTGATGTGATACTGGTGCAGCTGTGATGATGTGTGATACTGGTACATGCAGCTGTGATGTTGTGTGTGATACTGGTGTACATGCAGTGTCATAATGATACTGGTACATGCATCTGTGATGATGTGTGATACTGATACATGCATCTGTGATGATGTGTGATACTGGTACATGCATCTGTGATGATGTGTGATACTGGTACATGCAGCTGTGATGATGTGTGATACTGGTACATGCATCTGTGATGATGTGTGATACTGGTACATGCAGCTGTGATGTGTGATACTGGTACATGCATCTGTGATGATGTGTGATACTGGTACATGCATCTGTGATGATGTGTGATACTGGTACATGCATCTGTGATGATGTGTGATACTGGTACATGCAGCTGTGATGTGTGATACTGGTACATGCATCTGTGATGATGTGTGATACTGGTACATGCAGCTGTGATAATGTGTGATAGTGGTACGTGCAGCTGTGATACTGGTACATGCAGCTGTGATGATCTGTGATACTGGTACATGCAGCTGTGATGTGTGATACTGGTACATGCAGCTGTGATACTGGTACGTGCAGCTGTGATGTGTGATACTGGTTCATGCAGCTGTGATGATGTGTGATACTGGTACATGCATCTGTGATGATGTGTGATACTGGTACATGCAGCTGTGATGATGTGTGATACTGGTACATGCAGCTGTGATACTGGTACATGCCACTGTGATGATGTGTGATACTGGTACATGCATCTGTGATGATGTGTGATACTGGTACATGCAGCTGTGGTGTGTGATACCGGTACATGCATCTGTGATGATGTGTGATACTGGTACATGCAGCTGTAATGCTGGTACATGCAGCTGTGATGATGTGTGATACTGGTACATGCAGCTGTGGTGTGTGATACTGGTACATGCATCTGTGATGATGTGTGATACTGGTACATGCAGCTGTGATGTGTGATACTGGTACATGCAGCTGTGATGCTGTGATACTGCTACATGCAGCTGTGATGATGTGTGATACTGGTACATGCAACTGTGATGATGTGTGATACTGGTACATGCAGCTGTGATGATGTGTGATACTGGTACATGCTGTGATGAAGTGTGATACTGGTACATGCAGCTGTGATGATGTGATACTGGTACATGCACTGATAGCTGTACATGCAGCTGTGATGATGTGTGATATAGCTGTGATGATGGTGATATGCATGCATCTGTGATGATGTGTGATACAGGTGCATGCAGCTGTGATACTGGTACATGCATCTGTGATGATGTGTGATACTGGTACATGCAGCTGTAATGATGTGTGATACTGGTACATGCAGCTGTGATGATGTGTGATACTGGTACATGCAGCTGTAATGATGTGTGATACTGGTACATGCATCTGTGATGATGTGTGATACTGGTACATGCAGCTGTGATACCGGTACATGCAGCTGTGATATTGTGTGATATTGCAAACAGACTGACAGTTTTCCACTTTCTGTTACAGTGACAGATCCCACAACAGCATTAGGTATGAGCCCTGAGTATGTAGCGCGACGTGTACTCCAGGCCATCGAGTTCAACCAGGCAGACGTCATTCTGGCAACGCTCATGCCAAAACTAGCCTACTACACCAGGGTCTTGTTTCCAAAAACATATTTCTCTTTGATGAGGTCTCGTGCACGGAAACAGAAAATAAACTATTTGAAGAATAAGTGATTTGAAGTGTCTGTGTGAGGGGGCACTGTGTGATTGGTTTGTCAGAATAAGTTGTTGTTTGAGTGTGTTCAGTAGCCAGATGTCAATGTTTCAGTAGCCAAAGTGTCCTTGCTTAAGTATTTTTTTTCACATGGAGATATTAAAGATTTTTTTGTCTTCAGTATCATGTGTGCTTTGGTCCAGCTGGATGAGGGAGATGAATGGCTGAAGGACTTAATTAATGGGTCTCAAGTTGCTGTGCTGTGTGGAGACTGTTAGACTGAAATCACAGGATTTAATGCACAATTTAGCTCAATTATGATTGAACAAAGTCATATTGTCTCAAGTTCTTAAGAAAAATTAAATGCGTTCGTACACATCACTTTAGTTTTCAATAAAAATAATTTAAAGAGACCTTTAAGAAAAATGTGCCCAAGATGCATTTAATTGTTTTCAAAAATAATTTAAAGAGACCTTTAAGAAAAATGTGCCCAAGATACATTTAATTTTTTCAGAGACAAGTCACATTAGTTTTGTCTCGTCAATAAGCCATAACATGACTGAGTTCGTCGTGAAGATGCTTGAGAAACCCCATGCTTGAGAAACCCCACTGCAGATTCTGTTGTACTTGATGTATGACTAGAAGGATGAGTGGGCTTGGTGACGTGGTTGTATGTCACCATACACAATGTCATGGAAGGTTACTCATGATATCAATCACTGGTACTGACAATTTGCTCACATTTTTCAGATTTGTTTCACGCTCTGATTGTTGTGGATCGAACTCATGAAGTAAGAAGTGTTACATGTTTTAATTTCAGATAATATCAACAGTGTTCAAATCAGTGACATCATTTCACATAGCTGATTATTTACTATGAATGAGACATTTCATTTAGAATTAGAATTAACATTATTAATGTCATTTCAATAAACATTGAGTTTGTTGGTCCCAAATTTAGATCATGTTAGTGTGGGGTTTTAGCTGCGACTGATGTGATATGCCAAGCAAATACCATTAAAATAATTACTAACTGTTTGACTGTCTACCAAATGAACAATGTTTGTTTGATGTAGAGCTCAGATTATGTTCAGGGATGATCTGTTAGTTTTGTATTTCAATTAGTCACAGAGCTTTGCTGTGGTTGTGAGTAGTTTTAATGATTTCAAGAGATAATTGCACATCCATGACATAATAGACATGTGAAATAGTTTGTGGTCATTATGTTAAGATAACTCTGTATGAAGGAAGGGATGAATTTACTAATGATCACTTGTGATTGTATTTACTGACATTAAAGTGGTGCTGATGACAGGGCTCCACAAGTTTGGATTGTAGTGATATGTATTACGGGTCTAGGACAATTGCCACCCGGACAATTGCCTCCTAGGACAATTGCCACCCGGACAATTGCCACCTAGGACAATTACCACCCAGGACAATTGCCACCCAAACATAAAATAATAATTCAGTTTCTTTTGTACCAGCTTTTATTGAGTTTGACATGGTAATTCATAACAACATATTACATAGTCAGACTGTGGCTTTTAAATACTTAACCTAACATTCATACATACAGAGTTATCCAGGGCATTACATCTCAAATCTGTTGCACCTGTGAAGGTCCAGGTTAGAATATTGATCTTCAGTAACCCATGCTTGTCGTACCTGTGAAGATCCGGGTTAGAATATTGATCTTCAGTAACCCATGCTTGTCGTAAGAGGCGACTAACGGGATGGTTGGGTGGTCAGGCTCACTGACTTGGTTGACACATGTCATCGGTTCCCAAATGCGTAGATCGATGCTCATGCTGTTGATCACTGGATTGTCTGGTCCAGACACGATTATTTACAGACCGCCGCCATATAGCTGGAATATTGCTGAGTGCGGTGTAAAACTAAACTCACTCAAATCTGTTGTGCTAAGGCCCAAAAAATACAAAAAAAACAGTTGTCAGGCAATAGCTATTGAAAATTGTGCAGGTGGGCAGTCTTTTCTTTTTTCCAACCTCCCTACATAAGTTTTTCCATGATAAGTACACTACTTTTTACTTTGACCCGTTATCAAATTTAAACAATACTTTTGCCATGACCATAATACAATGTGCGCAGTTAAGTAGTGCACATGCAAAGGGAAGTAATTGCATGCTGTATATGATCTGATTATTCATAGTATTGCAGCATTTCACTGCCTTGGTCATGTGCGGTATATGAATTAAGTTGTTCAGAAAATGGAAATTAAAACGAAACATGTGGCAGAGTTTATGAGATGCAGTATATGAATTAATTTCTAGTTTCGAGATGCGGTATATGAATTAATTTGTTCAGAAAATGGAAATTAAAACGAAACGTGGCAGAGTTTATGAGGATGTAGCAGAGCTTTGGTACTAAGACTTTTTTTTAAGTCTAAACATCCTGGACCCATTTAACCATAGGCTTGTTATTGAAGTGACGTCAACAACTTCATCTCACTTATCAGTGACCCAGTACCAAATTCCCTTTGGTCATGATCAACGACCAGGCGAAATGCTCCCTCAGAATGATACATCAGTGTTTAAAATGGTAGCTTAAACTGAGCAGTCACGCCTATATTATATTATGTCTATTATTAATATGGATTATTAATTATTATTAATAAATGAAACGCTGGATAATCAAGGTGTGCTTATTTCTCATTAATATCCAACCATGTTGCATGCAGACAAGAAACATTACAAAATGTTTTGCATTAATGGTTTATTTTTAAGCTCTAGACTTCATAATTGTTCCTTTAACAAAGATGAAGATAAATTTTTTTGTGTCAACTTGAAATGGAGCAAGAATTTTGTGTGAGCAAATCTTATGTACATCCAAATTGAGAAACTATAGTACACATGAACTACTCATTGTATGGTAATGCTACTGAACAGGGTATTGGAGGCTCCACATCTTGATTGTGTTGATAGGGCATTGGGAGTTATTTAATAGCTGGCTTTCGGAGGAAACATGCTTCTACAAGATGGGGATGCAATACTCAGGATAATTGTTGATCATCTTCAAGGTATGATACAAAGTGTACAAAGCACGAATATGTGTGAGAGAAACAGTGAATGATTCAATAAAGTTTATTTTCAGTCAGATTGTATGAAAGTTGTTTTGTTCATCTAATTTTTGCATAATTATCATGATTATGTTATATCACTGTCGCACAAAAGTCACTGGAACATATAACTTGATAAGAGTCTGTTAATTCCTTTTGATTGTTTAACATTGGCATGAGTGTTTTGTTAACGCCTTGAACTTCTGTGCCTTCGTATCAAAGTGCTTTTAGTGATATGAAATTGTTTGTAGTATTTACAGAGATGTAGTATATATTTATCCCTATTCTATAAATGTACCTATGCAGGTATGCAATGCAATTGTTATTATCGAATGAAACGTGAATGGTTAACATTGGTCATCTTGTTCAAGTAAAACTACTTGTGAATCAGGTAACTGAGATTGCTCACAAAGGTGACACTAGATTGGCTTTTTGTTTGGATAGTAGCTTGGGTGGGTCAAAATAAAATACTTTTGTCAAGATCAACGATTCTGTTTTATTTTGCATAACTTTAGTCAGTTCATTTAGTGTGAACAAATAGAAGCTATTAGAGCTGCGGTGCACTGTGTTGAAAAAATATTTGCACGTTTCTGTTGTTCCATGAACTGTAAAGTGGAAAGCATTGCCATGACATACTCTCTGATGCTAAAGGACAGTTCCCTGCTATCCTTACACATGAGTAAGTATGGTTCTATGCTGCTTTTAGCAATATTCTAGCAATATCAGGGCGGGGGACACCAGAAATGGGCTTCACACAATGTACCCATGGGGAATCGAACCCAGGTCTACGGTGTGACGAGCAAACGCTTTAATCACTAGGCTACCCCACTACATACGAACATGTTTTCTTTCAGTGGATAAGTGATGTAATTATAAACTTCCGCCTGACTTATTGGCTATTCATAACACTACTTATCTGGACATGGTTTTGTATTCATATATTATCATGCATGTAAAGTTACAATCTTTCTGATTTTGTTTGTAACTTTTAACAAACAGTATAATGTGGTATGGAAAATGTTTTTAATTATTATTTTTCAATAATGAAATGACCTACATCTGAGAAGTCGTGATATTATTAGTGATCATAATGCATTTAAATCAACTGATGCAGCAATTTTAATTCAAGCAGTTTGAGGATAAGCCTCACACATTACAAATTTTCTTCCTACAAGCATGCAGCATTTAGCTCCTAAACCGACCTGAAGAAATATTGGCATGATCACAACACTCATGGGCAGAGAGCATTCAGAGGGTAAGAATGCTTTTTCGTTTCAGTGAGTGAGTTTAGTTGTTGTTTAATGCCACAATCAGCAATATTCCAGATATATGGCGGTGGTCTGTAAATAACTGAATCTGGACCAGACAATCCAATGATCAACAGCATGAGCAGTGATCTATGCAATTGGGATACGATGACATGTCAACCAAGTCGGCGACCCTGACCACCCGATCCCGTTAGTCACCTCTTATGACAAACATGGGTTACTGAAGATCAGTTCTAAGATGGATCTTGATGGGCTTTTCTTGTGAGCAAGAGACTCTAGTTCATGCCCTGCAGGTAAACATCAATGCACTACATCTGATAGCCAGTGAGCAAATCTTTGACCCTCTGCTGCTGTTATTGACTGCACATTCGCAGATACACAGCTTCCATTATAAGGTCATGATTTGGTTTGTATAGAGACATGAACATAGAAAATGAATATCATCATTCTGAAAGTTACATCATGATATTATTCCCAGTCATATTGCCTTCTAAATCTGTGTAGAGAGAACTGGTTTAATTCAATCTTTGAAAGGAACAACTCATTTAAGAGTCATTTGTGGTGGAATCTAGGTGATCCATCCAGCATATGGATGGATGAGTGAGTGAGTGACTATGGTTTTGGAAGCTTTAATCAATATTCCAAAAATATCACAGCTGAAATGAACTTTACATGCACCAATGTAGGAAATCCAAGCCAGGTGATGAGCGAATGCTTTAACACCTGCATATGGATGAACAGATGCTTGTCAATTGAACAGATGCTTGTCAGATGAACAGATGCTTGTCACTAATGCACTACAGATTCCAGCCTAGAACTGTATCTCAGTGACTCTATGGATCATTTGATGTTAAGCTGTTTACCTGATACAGACCCATCACTCAAAACTTTACAAAATTGGTAATTAAATCCAATTGTAAGAAATGTTCACAAGTCAAATAAAGTATTAAAATATTCAAAATTCAACACCTCACAAAAGTAAATAGCCCTTTCATTGTCTTCAAAAATTTCACCCAACAAGACAATATTTGAAGAATCACTTTTGATGACAGACTTTTAAAATTTTATTAATTTTCCAACCAACAGTTTATAGGGTTTTCATAACAAATACATGTAGACATAGAGTGTATGTAAATCAAGTAAAGAACAGAGACCTCAAAGTGTCTAATATATACTTAGGCTGCCTCTAAACATTTCCTGTTGAACTTGTGCAAAGGACTCAATCTGCTTCCTGTCATTTGATGTTTTCCTTGCCATAAATTATATCACACTCACTTTCATCTATTCAAAAGGTTTATTCTTTCTCTTGCTAATGAATTATGTTGTCTACAGCTGTACATGTTCATTGGTCATGTCATGATGAACCTTGGGCATAAATATAAGCCCTTAGATGCTGGTCAAAATTGATCTTTAGTAACCATTGCATGTTGTAAGAACTGACTGATAGAATCTGGCAGTGAGACCCCAGACTTGGTTGATGTATATCATCACATCTCAAATGTGTAGACCGATGCTCATGATTTTCAATCATTTGATTGTCTGGCTGAGACTTAATTACTTACCGGTATTGACAAATGTCATATAGATGGTGTCTCTGAGTGCAAAAAAACAACAACATATGCAGGTAAGCTAGATGTATGCATGGCGACTGAGCATAAACAAAACCAGTAGTTGTTGTCTGTGAGTATTGTATTGCAAACATAAATAGTTGAGTCAAGAGAAGTCACTATCAGTATGGTTGAAGAAGTCTTTTTTCCAAAAGCGGGTGATCCTGTAGGTTAGAGAAATCTGTGATTCCTTATAATTTATGTGTACATTGGAATCTGTCTAAACATTTTTGCCAGTGCTGGTTTTGGTTTCAAATCCCAGATTTGCAGATGATTACTAGGTTTGTCCTCACTTATTAGAAAACACTGACATTGACCTGCAACGGTAATGGCTGGTCAACCACATGCAGTTGTGACAGAGAAGAAATACTGTTTGAAGCCATCATCAGCTCACACAATTTACTGCCTGTGTGAACGGTTGCATCCAGCTTTTCACAAAAGTTGGCTAACTGATTACGGAATGTGGACTAACACCTGTCTGAACAAGGACCAACAAGTTATATGATTATTAACAGGCCTATGTCCCTCCAGGGAAAGGCAGGAGCATGATCACGCTCACGAATTCCAAGACAGCAATCCGAATGTTTGGCACAGACCATAGATACCTCGGGATATTATGCATATTAGCACTGATTGTTTGTGTTCCAGATACAAGTCACGGTATATGAGAGACATGGTAATTACACATGTGTAGTTCACACTGTTATTTTTGAATACACAATGCTATTTAGAAAGCGGTCAGATGTAACTTATGTTATATGTGGGATTACACTTTCTGTAATGATTCTGTACAGATTCTAGTACTTGTAGCCCAGATGGGACTAAACACAATAAAAGTATTGGAATCTGTACTTTTCGGAGAATGTGTAATCCTAAACATAACATGTGTTACATAGTTATTTTGGTTTAAATTACATCTAGGTCAACAAAATGCGACAATCCAACTTTATTTACATGAAATTTGAAGCACTAACCTTTCAATTTGCAGAAGTAATGACACACCTGCATATATCCCACAGACCCACAGCCCAGATACATCCATGTTTATCATCCAAAACTGTGTTCCACAGGAGATATTGCTTGTGTGAGATCAACGATATCTCCTCGGAGATATTGTTTTGACAGTAGATTTTGTACAATGCCCTGACAATGATATGATGTCATGAACTTGATGACATCACAATGCTATGACATCGCTGCACTGCAAGTCTTATGGCTGTACCGTGTTCAGAAGTGTACATGTTTTCATTGAAAACTAAAGAAGAGTGATTTTGATGATAAATAGAATCTCACCCTCGTGTTTTCTGATATCCAATATATCAACACTCGTTGATAAAAGTAAAAATATCCATGGCAAGCTTCTGATATTTGTACTTTATCAACTCGTGGTGATATATTGGATATGCAAAAGACACTCGGGTGAGATTCTCTATGTATATACATGTGCTTTCCATAGACTTTTTTGTCAGTAACAAAATCTGACACAAGGGAAGCTGAAGAAATTTTTCAAGCTACCGACATTAACACAACACAGGCCAACTCAGTATTCACCTGCTGACATGGTCAAAGGGGCACAAAGTAGCGCTGTAATCAAATAGAAGTTCTCTATAAAAAATATTTCTGGTTTTCCAAAGTCAGTGAGTGAATGCTATTTAGCACCCAGCGTCACTTAAAACCAATACGTCAGTAATGATACGACAGTTAAGTCTCATTTTGGAGGTCCATGCACATTCTCGTTTACCACCATGACACCAGTGCATGAGAGTACTGTGCTGACAGGGGGCCGTGGGGTAGCCTAGTGGTTGNCAAGCGTTCGCTTGTCACCCTGAAGACCTGTGGGTTTGATTCCCACATGGGTACACTCACTGTATGTGAAGCCCATTTTCTGGTCCCCTTAAGGACTGTGATATTGTTGGAATATTGCTAAAAGTGGCGTAAAACTAAACTCACTCACTGTGCTGAGAAGACACACATTTTCTTGGATCCCTGTATAAGGGACATAACTCTGCATGTGAGCAACTCGTCTTGCCCCACTTTAATGCATAGATATGACACTTATAAACTTATTACTGAGTAAAAAAGTAATTAAAAGACAAATTCTTAAAACTAGTACCGTGTATAAAGACATCACAAACACTACAATTGAACACATTTTAATAACTGGTCAATAAACATGTGAATAATTCATTCCCTGAATTTTTTTCAACAAAGAGTCTTCGTTATCTGAAAATACTCAAATATAATAGCTTTTGCTAATCAATGGTATAAGTATTATATGTCAAAGGTTCCCAAAAATATGTTTTTCAGGTTGAACCATGAAGGACATGGCTCTCGAAGTTTCACTCGAGGGTAAAAGGTGCAACTTTCTGATTCGGCATCTATACAAATCTTGAAGAGGTAACTTTATACAATTAAGCCCTCACAGACAAAACACTGCACACATCATCACCCTTGAAATCTGTCCACACGCTCAGTCATCGAGGCACAAGTTGCAGGATATTTCTCATCGACAACAACCCTATTGTTTCTGCTGTTATAGTTTGACATCATAGGCATTGCATACGGAACCACTATTCTATATACCACTGATATATCTTCCACGCACAGAAAGCACCAGCACAAAGCGACACAGCATTGTGAAGTAGTTTGCGCCGTTTGTCGTCTCGTCTAACCAACACCACAGGAGTGGTAGTAGTCAATGTATGCACTGGGATTTTCTTAATGCGGTTCTTATTGTGTTCGACTTGATATTTACAACACGGATCAAACTGCCAGGAGATGGCATATACCCCAGCACACAATACACTCAAAGAACCGAGGGGCAGAAACAGCAATCCTCTCTCCGGCCAGCATCCTCCTGATATGAGAGCACCCAGTCCAGTAAGGACTGATGTTTTGTGCAGACAGTTGCCTACACTGATCCAGTGGGCTGTCTCGTCACCGAGTTTGGAAGGTTCTATGATGATTATCTTGGCATTAGCATCCAGAGCTTTCTCCAGCTCAAGCTCAAATTCCTCCTGTGCGTCCTCATGTTCGTAGATCTCTCGTACTACCACATACTCGGGAGGACCACTTCTGGAAGAGAAAGATACCCTTGGTTAAACAATAACACAAAATGATAGTAACAGATGCACATCTCTCGTACTACCACATACTCGGGTGGACCACTTCTGGAAGAGAAACATACCCTTGGTTAAACAATAACACAAAGTGATAGTAACAGATGCACATCTCTCATACCACCACATACTCGGGAGGACCACTTCTGAAGAGAAAGATACCCTTGGTTAAACAATAACACAAAGTGATAGTAACAGATGCACATACCACCACATCTCTCATACTACCACATACTCGGGAGGACCACTTCTGGAAGAGAAAGATACCCTTGGTTAAACAATAACACAAAGTGATAGTAACAGATGCACATCTCTCGTACTACCACATACTCGGGAGGACCACTTCTGGAAGAGAAACATACCCTTGGTTAAACAATAACACAAAGTGATAGTAACAGATGCACATCTCTCGTACTACCACATACTCGGGAGGACCACTTCTGGAAGAGAAACATACCCTTGGTTAAACAATAACACAAAGTGATAGTAACAGATGCACATCTCTCGTACTACCACATACTCGGGAGGACCACTTCTGGAAGAGAAACATACCCTTGGTTAAACAATAACACAAAGTGATAGTAACAGATGCACATCTCTCGTACTACCACATACTCGGGAGGACCACTTCTGGAAGAGAAACATACCCTTGGTTAAACAATAACACAAAGTGATAGTAACAGATGCACATCTCTCGTACTACCACATACCGGAGGACCACTTCTGGAAGAGAAAGATACCCTTGGTTAAACAATAACACAAAGTGATAGTAACAGATGCACATCTCTCGTACTACCACATACTCGGGAGGACCACTTCTGGAAGAGAAACATACCCTTGGTTAAACAATAACACAAAGTGATAGTAACAGATGCACATCTCTCGTACTACCACATACTTGGGGAGGACCACTTCTGGAAGAGAAACATACCCTTGGTTAAACAATAACACAAAGTGATAGTAACAGATGCACATCTCTCGTACTACCACATACTCGGGAGGACCACTTCTGGAAGAGAAACATACCCTTGGTTAAACAATAACACAAAGTGATAGTAACAGATGCACATCTCTCGTACTACTACCACATACTGGAGGACCACTTCTGAAGAGAAACATACCCTTGGTTAAACAATAACACAAAGTGATAGTAACAGATGCACATCTCTCGCACTACCACATACCGGAGGACCACTTCTGGAAGAGAAACATACCCTTGGTTAAACAATAACACAAAGTGATAGTAACAGATGCACATCTCGTATTACCACATACTCGGAGGACCACTTCTGAAGAGAAACATACCCTAACACAAAGTGATAGTAACAGATGCACATCTCTCGTGACTACCACATACTGGGGAGAGGACCACTTCTGGAAGAGAAACATACCCTTGGTTAAACAATAACACAAAGTGATAGTAACAGATGCACATCTCTGTACTACCACATACTCGGGAGGACCACTTCTGGAAGAGAAACATACCCTTGGTTGGTTAAACAATAACACAAAGTGATAGTAACAGATGCACATAACACAAAGTGACTAACAGACACACACCACATACCGGAGGACCACTTCTGGAAGAGAAACATACCCTTGGTTAAACAATAACACAAAGTGATAGTAACAGATGCACATCTCGTACTACCACATACTCGGGAGGACCACTTCTGGAAGAGAAACATACCCTTGGTTAAACAATAACACAAAGTGATAGTAACAGATGCACATCTCTCGTGACTACCACATACGGGAGGACCACTTCTGGAAGAGAAACATACCCTTGGTTAAACAATAACACAAAGTGATAGTAACAGATGCACATCTCTCGTACTACCACAATATTCGGAGCTACCACTTCTGTAAACAAACATACCCTTGACCAGACAATCCAGTGACACAAGTGCATAGTAACAGATGGGAACATCTCTCGTGTCTCACCACATAGTCAGAGGACCACTTCTGAAGACCCGATCCCGTTGGTTAAAAATAACACAAAGTGATAGTAACAGATGCAAGCAAGGGTTGAAGACTCATTCAAAGTGCATGGAACTTTCAAATATCTTTTAAGTGAATGTGGTGATTCTCAGTGCAGTGTTAAACAACAAATAGTGCTGACTGGTTAGCTAAAGCATATCTTCATTATGATGTCAGACTAATTCACTGTTGGGAAACCCATGAAGATCTGTTAAAGTGAGTGAGTGAGTTTAGCTTAACGCCGCTTTTAGCACTATTCCAGCAATATCACATTGGGGACACCAGAAATGGGCTTCACACATTGTACCCATGTGGGGAATCGAACCCTTGCCTTCAGCGTGACCAGTGAATGCTTTAACCACTAGGCTACCCCATCGCCCCGATATGGGTTAGAACTGGTCTTCAGCAACCCATGCTTGTGTTAAGAGACAACTAATGGGATTGGGTGGTCAGGATCAGTGACTTGGTTGATGCTTGTCTATTGCTAAGATTCATGCTCATGATGGCAATCACTGGATTGTCTGGTCCAGACTCAGCTATCTAATGACTGCCATCATATAGCTGGAATATACTGCTGAGTGTGGCATTAAACTAGAAACAAACACACAATGATGAGAATGATGGAATCCATTTTTCCCTGATGTCACAAACCAATTTCATAATGTCATGTGGACAATAATAGACTTCAGTGAACTTTCTCGTAGTGTTAATATCACAAATGTTTAGTTTCATTTCTTCATTAAACTGAGAGTGAATTACACACAGAATAACCTACTGGTACTCAAAACTCAGAATGATAGATTATCTGCCCCTCTTGAAGGCTCAGGAACTGTACAGGGGTGGAAATAACTTTAAAATTGCTAGTGTACTCCGGTACGGTGGCATATGTAAAATCACTTGCCCTGATATTTTTTCCACTATACCGTCAGTTTTCTTGTTGATTTTTTATATAAACAACATAATTAATATTGGAAAGTCAACTGGACACCGGTACAGTTTGATATACAAAATTGCTTGCCCGACGGAAAAAAACACTGGACTCGGGCGTCGGGCAATGGGTTATTTCCACCCCTGCTATATTATTAATTCACTTCTGACAGATAATTCCTGATTCCTTGTTGGTTTATGGCAAGTGTTTACAGCTGGAGATAAACATGTTCCTTCATGAACAATTGCCTTTAGATCAACTGACTTTAAAGTATTGAGCAATGGTAGACATTCACATCTATAGACCATAAACATTTGAGGAATGATTTAACCTGAAGAGATTTTGAAAATGCCGAAAATCTTAATCAAGAGAAAGAAATATAAAATGGAAAATTTCATAAAAGCTAAAAACAGACGCACAACACAAATCTAATTTCATAAAGATAAATGCAGAAATGGATCAGTCATTGGAAAAAAAAGTAGTTTTAACAATAAACATAGTAGCCATGTTATTTAAAAACTCTAAATGTTTATATTTTAAGAACTTTACAAAGATATCAGTATGCAGCCAACACTTTCCACCATGTTCAATGGGCCTTTATCCCCATAATGTATGACGTACCATTTTTCATTGAAATGTTAGTCATTTTCATCATATGCAAGGATTCATGTCAACATAAACATTAGCACATGAGGGACTGCATATATGCTATCCACATATTTCTTATAGCATCTTTTAGATATTAATTGATAAATTCATAAATGTGTGGTAAGTGTATGTTGGGAATGTAGTATCCTTTCCATGTCAACAATACTAGTTCAAGGAAGAATCTGACAACAAACTCCCTTTTCTCGACATCCTGGTACAGAAACAAGAAAACAAGCTCTCCACCACTGGCTACAGGAAACCCACTCATACCGACCAATATCTCCACTTCACCTCCAATCACCCTCTGCAGGTCAAGAAAGGCATCATTTCCACCCTTACCCGAAGAGCCAAGAACATCTGCTCGACAACAGAAGCCCTAGAAATCGAACTAAACCACCTCCGCCATGTTTTCATCCATTATAACCAGTACCCCCAGAAGTTAGTTAACAACAGCATCAGATCCATCCTTAACCCAAGAGATAAATCACCCCGTCAGCAATCAGCACCCTTCGTAATAAGTATCCCGTATGTCCCAGCAGTCAGCCACCAGATAAGACGACTACTTCAGCAGCAAGCAGGTATAGACGTTCTGTTCCAGAAAGGCAAGTCCATCCAAAACCTCCCCAAGCCACAGGCAAACCCCCATCAACAACTAAAGAAGACCCCACAGAGGCAGTCTACCAGATCAATTGCCAATGTGGAGACTCTTACATAGGTGAAACATCCCGCCCTCTCCCTCTACGAATTAAAGAACACAAAACTTAAGTCCAGAAAAAAGAAAATCCACCATAGCTAACCACACCCAAGCCAACCCTGGCCATGCCATCCTTTGGGACAACATCCACATCCTAGAAACTAACCGATCAGACTACAAGATTAGGAAACTTCTTGAAGCCATAAAAATCCAACACTTCAGCCCCACCATGAACCGGGATCAAGGTTATTTTATCTCCTCAGCCTATCACCACCTAATTAGAGATCACCAGTAATCCACCCATAACTCGTCCAATTGGCTTCTGTGTTCCCTCTTGTGTATTGTAATCACAACCAATCCATGTGTACATCAACCTACTCTCTTCAACTCACGATTACCATCTCAGTGTACATCAACTCATCTACATGTATTGTATAAACTCATTCTGCATATTGTCTGATAACGGTGTTAGTACCTACACCGAAACGTCACACTCATTGCAATAAAGAAGTTGACGATCCATAGAACTTGGTTTTCCTTCATCTATACAACTTCTAAAATGCCTCTCAAAGAAGTCATGTGCTAGGATTATAAGCCAAAATTAGAAAGACATACATTGACTTCTGTTTCCTTTCAATCCTAACATATTTAGTCACTGGGAGATAAAAAGCCTTTGGAATATTCATCATATGTTGCAGCGAGTTTGCAATGTAACTGAAATATTGAGGGGTCACAAAGATGACTACATTTCTCAAATAATTCCAAGACAAAACTGTACATCTTTAGTTGATGGATGTGAGGATATGCCCTTTTATAGCAATTGCACTTACAGGTGGTGCAGCACAGGTCATGAACCAGTCAAGATTGCTCATTTGCTTGGATATGATCAGGGTACCCGCGTGAAAAAACCCCAAAACAATAACAAAAGCAACAATCAGTCCCGGGGAATTGCCCCAGATTTGTGCCCCTTTAACTTTAAGACAACAGCAATGATCCCTCTCCTTGATTCAAGATGACTAGAAATCTGACAGAACACCAAGGCAGACAATGTGATCACCTGGCATTGGTTCTTAAAAGCATGGGATACCGGACACACCATTACAAATACCTTCAAGGACAAGGTATGGCATACCTAGAAATATGAAGATTATTTTATCATGAAACAATAATTAGTGGTAATCAAACATTAGCTACAAGTATCTTTAGCTTAGTCTGCATCTTTAAATGATACACTGAATGGCACCCAGTTGCTGTTCAAAACTAGATCTAATATAATTTGACAAAATGTACTGATAGTGATAGAGCTAAATCAGCTGATCTTTCCTGGGCTGTGTTTATAAATAATAATACTAACATATCAAATTCATCAACCACAAGAACAGTTTCACAACAGACACGGTGGTACCAATGTTGGTTTCTACCACTGCCATTGACTTACTGTTTACAAAGGCTTTGTGCAGGAACAATTAAATCGTTTTTTGAGTGAAACACCTCAAAAGTTTAGTTTTTATATAATTGACATCACGCAAACAAACACATCCTAGCTATTTATTACCGGCGACACAATTAAACTAACTGTTTCCTGCTAAGCGTAAGCATCAACAAAGCCTTCGGTTTCATATCTATAAATACTTTACTTATAAAACTTTAAAGTTTATACCTTGACTTATCCGCCATTTCGGTCAAACGAGAAGGGGCATAACTCCAAATGTTTAACGTTTATTGCTAAACTGCGTACCGCTATTATTGCAGAATTGTCTATGTTATTCGTCTAGACATTACAACGACGTCTGGTTCTGGATATCTCGGGATCATTATCACACTCCCGATACTGTAATCCGTATATAAGTGCAAAAAGTTAGGCCAGAATCCAAACAGATTGTATTAGGGAGTGGGCGAATGAGCGAGCGAGCAATATGACTTCAGCAATATTTCAGCAAAGTCAGTGCGGGATACCAATGGGTTTCTCTTTGTATATACGAGGGAAACGAGCATGGGTATTCAGCGTGACGAACAAATGCTTCAACCACTTGACTAAGAAAAGACGCGAAGACTGAGCTGAAACTTAACTGAAATAGTGTGCCAATGAGTGAGTGAGTGAGGTTAGTTTTACGCCGCACTCAGCAATATTCCAGCTATATGGCGGAGGTCTGTAAATAATTGAGTCTGGACCAAACAATCAACAGCATGAACATCGATCTACGCAATTGGGATACGATGACATGTGTCAACCAAGTCAGCGAGCCTGACCACCCGATCCCGCTAGTCGCCTCTTACGACGAACATGGGTTACTGAAGATCAATTCTAACCCGACCTTCACGGGTCGTTTGCCAATGAAAGAAAACTGATCACACTGGAATTGTAATTATTCAAAATAATTCAAAAGTGTTCAAAATAATTAAAAGGCATACATTTATCCCAGGATGGACTTTGAACAGTAAAAACAATCAAGGTTATCCCTGTGAAATAAAATATTTAACAGTCGAATATATGTGAATACTATTTATGTTTTTAAAGCGACATTTACACAATGATAGCATTCAATGTTTCCTGTTAATTTGAAAAGAAAAATGAGGCTGGACATTCCCAATTACTCTATGAACAACATTTCATTTGAGACAACCTCACGCATCTCAAGTCTAGAGCGATCAGTTATTAAACGGTGGTTGAGACTAGACAATACAGTGATCAACAGAAAGAGCATCGATCTACGCATCTGGGATACGATGACATGTGTCAACCAAGTCAGCGAGCCTGACCACCCGATCCCGTTAGTCACCTCTTACGACAAATATGGTTGCTGAAGAGAATTCGAATTCGAATTTTCTCTGCTTGTTTGGGACGGTGAAGTTTGATGCATAAGTATAATGAAAAATATCACCACCACCACCCCCCCACCCACCCCAAAAAAATGCTTGTCTTTTTAGACGACCCTCCCCATATCCTTGTACATACCCTGAAAAGACCATGTGCATAAAATACGTTTTATTCGGTCAATTTTGTCACAACCCTCCCCAATAATACTATCATTGTTCATCATGTTCACGACCCTCGCCTAAACACGTACTGACTTATTATTTGTTGACCGTCCCCTGATCTCATTAAAATACACAGCTACTCACAATACATTTTCGTAAGACATTAAGTAGGGCTGAACAGTGCCGCTGTTGAGCTTATGCAATATACATATTATATCATATCAGGGAGAATAGAAGACGTAGAAGAAGCTGTAGATTATCCCTGATCATATACATTTTAAATGTCTGTCATAAGAAATCTTTTGTTGTCTGAAATTCTGCCTTAAAACAGACATAAAAACTCCATTTCACATTTCCCACTTCTCATAACCTTCTGTTACCCAAAGTTTTCGTATATTTTAAACCAGATGGATATATGAGCTGGAATGTATGCTATTGTCCTGTGTCATACGTTTATTTTCTGCCGAATGATGCCATTCCAATTCGGGATCTTTGTCGCGTGGTCGTGTTGCAGTCGGGTCCGCTCGGCTTATTCCGCTGGTGTCATAATTTCGTGTTGGATCAAGACAAGCCGAGTGGAAGTGTGCTTTAAAGGGAAGTAACTCATGAGACCCTAGTATGCTACTCTGAGGACTGATTTATTTAATACTTGTGCGTTATTGATAAGATGTCATCTTTTACGGGACTCTATTGCCCATTATTTTTCAGTAATATCCCTTTTATTTGATCTCAACAAATTTATAATATATTGTCCTTTACATGTTGTTACCAGTTATTATGGACTGAACGTGCGCCGTTAATCAACTTCATTTTGTTAAAACCGTGTGAGGACAAAAGTATTAAACATTAAGCATGACATGTTTTTAAAGTGGACATACATTGGAGACGGTAAAATAAAGAATACTATGTTATTATATAAGGGAAAACGTTATTTTATAATGCAATTGTTGAGTAAACAATGATCATGGCGATAAGAAAGGTGTTTGTAATCAACAAAGGCCTATGAAACAAATGAAATTATTTAATAAAAGGTATAGGTATATTTAGATCTGAACGTTATCGCACAAGCGCCAATTACATGTATTTAAACTGCGGTGCAAAAGAAAGTAGATTAAAACACATAGTGGCTAAACAATAGTTACACGAAACTAACAAAAATGTTTATTCTATTGTGTTGTGTGTAAAACGGGCATCACAGCTCATGGATCTTAGGTCTGCAGCGTTTAGGCGACTGCTTTCATCCTGGTAGCATTTTGAAGTAACGTTGTTGCTATGTTGTTGTTTATGTTGTTGTTTCTTGTTGTCAAGCCAATTTTCAAGCATGTGCTTTCCGTTGATCGTCAGCTTATCAACCAAAACATTCGTTCTTGTATGTTTATTAAGTCTCTCTGTTAGACTAAAACGGATCTCAGGGTATTCGGCATATATACTAGCTGTTTCAATACATGAGTGAGTTGAGTTGAGTTTTACGACGCACTCAGCAATATTCCAGCTATATCGCAGCGGTCTGTAAATATTTTAGTCTGGACCAGACAATCCAGTGATCAACATTATGAGCATCGATCTGCGCAATTGGGAACTGATGACGTGTCAACCAAGTCAGCGAGCCTGACCACCCATGAAGAAATGTATCTTCTGTTTCACAAGCTCAAATGATAGCTGTATGAAATCCCACGGAGGTTGATTCCTGGGAAGAGTCTGTTGCACACTATGTAAAGTAAATACCCACAATTTAACAACACTTTAACATTCAAAGTATAAAGTGAAGCTATAGAAAACTATAATTTGTCGTTTGGAGTTCACGTTAGACAATCAGACAGGGGGGTGATAGGAAAGCTGATGAACATACTTCGTCTATATTTCATTAATACAGTTGTGTTGTATTATTTTGACTCACTTGAGATCACTTGTGATTTTCAGGGGGGCGGGGCTGGTTGGGTTGGTGCCACACCTTATAAAATGTTTTTGTTATCCTATTGTCAAAGACAATGTTGGGGATCAGTTCAAAAGTTCAACTGTGAACATCTATATTCCTTGAGGTTACTATGGATGGCTCAGAACGTAAGTAATTGGAGGTCTTTTTTATACACACAGAATATTGAAACTTTTCCATTTCTTGAACCTAGTCCCCTAAAACCACAAGGTCCCTTGATATAACTGTCATTAATCACCTTCATTGTTGATATAGTACACAATGTTTACATTAGTAGGACACATTGAGCCTATTTATCGAAAGGACGGGGTGTCATAAATGGCCGTATACGTCCATTACGTAATTACGTGGTTGGGAATCTTGTAGAACTTTGTCTATGTGTCATTTGGGTCATTTAGAGTTCCATCATGACTCGACAGTCTGGTCGGTGTTCACACTATCAATCTCTGGTTTCCAACTAAAAGTCCTGATAAGTATACAGACCACCACACTTGCGCAGGGGTAGCCTAGTGGTTATAGCGTTGGCTCGCCGCGCCGAAGACTCGGGTTCGATTCTCAAATGGGTACTATGTGTGAAGCTCATTAATTTCTGCTGACTGAGGCCGTGATATTGTTGGAATATTGCTAAAGCGGCGTAAAACTAAACTCACTCACTCGCCCCCTTGATTTATGGATACGAATGTTGTGACCTTAAATGTAGAATGGGCTTAAGTGTAGAATAGTCATGAATATTCATCAGTGGGCGGAGCTTATGTGCTACGTCACATACACAGACCCCAAGTTTTATAAATGTGTCAGTTAAAACTCCCGAGTCTATGAATATATATTTGAGGAAGAGAAGAATTAACTGTGCAGCAGGCATAACCTGTCTGGTCATGGATTTCTATTTTCACCAACAAACACTACTTTCCAGTGACCGCTTGATGCGTGTTGCAGTTATGTCAGTATGCATTTTCCTTTATTCTTCGATAGCTTTGAGGCAGTGAAAACTGTTCTCAGTTTTCTGGTGACCCAGGTCGTGGTATTGCTGGAATATTACTAAAACGGCATGAAACTAAACTCACTCACTGAACATCGATCCAGGGTCAGTTAATCGATATCGCGTTGCAACAGATATATTCCTTAATTGAACATTAAAATGATCTTCACAGTGTTAGATGGAGAATGTGCCTTACCTTCCATTTGAGACACAGCTTTAGTGCTGTGAAAGCACGTAACACCATTTGATTTTAACCTCAACTATGGGAGCGTAAGAGGTCCACAGTCTAATATTTTGCAATAATACGCTTCCATATGTATCAAACTTGTTGATTTTAATTGCTGTGGTAACTTGCTAACTAACAAGCTATAGAGGGATGTACATGCTTGGGCGCCATACAAGTAGCGTAGGAGGCGACTAACGGGATCGGGAGGTTGTCATCGTATCCCAATCGATGCTCATGCTGTTGATCACTGGATTGTGTGGCCCCAAAACAATCGATGCATAGGTAATCAGTAACCAAAGTTAGCCCACAAAGATAGGGACCATTAGGAATTATATTCCTCTCCTACCTCTATTTTTTATTTGTTTGTTTGTTGTTTAACACCTCACTCGGCAATATTCCAGCTATATGGCGGCGGTCCGTTAATAATTGAATCTGGACCAGACAATCCAGTGATCAACATCATGAGAATCGATCTACGCCACCGGGATACGATGACATGTGTCAACCCAGTCAGTGAGCCTGACCACCCGATCCTGTTAGTTGCCTCTTACGACAAGCATGGGTTGCTAAAGATCGACCAATTCTAACCCGGATCTTCACGGGTTTAGATTGTAAATGGTCAAATCGCAGTAAGCAGGCTATTTTTTTGTCTAACTGTTTTTGCTACACCTCAGCAGCTACTCTGACACATTGATCGAAGGATGTGGATGTAACCGGCAATTTTCAGTGAATCCTTTTTATCCCGGACGGTACAGTTTCCATTGTTTATCTACCAATTGACAAATGATTAACAAATGAGTCATTTCTACGGAGAAAGCCGTTCGTGGTAGTGACATCCCAGGTTAATGGTATTTACATACTACCGGGGTTTACTGTATCAGGTCCACATACACATACACATACATTAGCACTCGGCTCCGCTCGGCGTATTCCGTTGCCTATATGACCTCATAAGCTGAGGTGATCCAAGTGTGCATGTATGATGATGTACTTAATTGTTAAAATCTAAAGTCTAAAAAAGTGATTAGAATTTAAAAGCATACTTACTACCTCCTCCGACTGAAGATATGTAAAAAAAAATCACATTCACAATATTATAAATCTGTTATAGTCATCAATGGAAGGTATACATTTTCACAAGTCCAAGTTAATCTAATATCTTTTTCCATTTTTTAAAATTTGTTAGTTCAGAGAATCTTGGATTTATTTAATTATTTTGACTTTAATCTGTTGCCTTAGTAATATGTTATTTGATTATTTGTTTTACGTTATTTGGTATATATTGCTTAAATAGTGTAATTATACGCATGAATGTATGTTCGCATGTCGGCGAAAGTAATTCTTATTTCGCTTTATAATAGATTCGCTTTTACACCGACTACGTCCTTCATTTCCGCTTCCGTATTCGGCTGCTTGGTATCAAGGATGTGACATGTCACGGGTTTAAGTGATAATATCATGTATATGTGTTGTAGATAGTGAATGATTGTGGTCGGTTTCAATATGGGCAACTGCCTCAGGAAATGTTGTGGCCTGTTTGACAAACGGTAAGAACAAAAAACACTTAAAAATCTTATGTGATTGGCATGTAATGTTTGAATGGAGGGTACGCCTCTTTTTTCAGTGATCATAACACGATCGACTACATGTTTGTATATTGACTTTCTTAACAAGCAAATAACTTGATTCGGAGTTATTGTGTCTGATATGAATAACACTGACATGTTAAACGACGTTTTTCGAATGAAACAGTGAGTATAAATGCGTGTGACGGTCACTTGGACCGACCGAGATGAGATCTGTAGTGTATTGATCTGGCCACGGCAGATGGAAAACTGCATGGTATGGCGTATTTAAGCCTGAGTCACTGGCACCCTAGAATTGTAAAACACAGTGTTACATGTTTACGGGAAACGTTCAAGAAATGCCTTTGTATTGTGATGTTGGCTTGTCAAATTGTTAAGTATATTGTCTATGTATGACGAATGTCATCTAACCATAGATTAGTTATAAATATGTTTTTTCAAGCTGAGATTTTGAACTTTAGTGTCATGATTTTTGTTTGTATATTCTGAAATGGACATTGGTAGCTTGGGTCATTTTGTTCTCTATAACAGGTACAGTATGCTTGCTTGTAAATATTACTGTAAAACAGGCCTCTCTAATGTCCAGAGGTCTCGTCTGTTCACCTGGTGATCTGGGTCATGATCCAATTTCTAATTGCAAATGTTAGTGATTTAATGTAATTGCAATGCTCAGAAGCCTTTTGATTATAGTTGATGTTATAACTTGAGTTATTTAAATCTCAGATCAACTATTGGCACCCTGCATGTTTAGTGTATGCTTCATACCACAGAAAAAATGTCAGATATCGGTAACATGCAATCTGTTAATTGTCTCTATCCATTCTCAGTTTGCATGTGTACAGGATGCATCAAACCCTTTCAAATCCTGTTCTGTTGACAATAAACAGATGTTCCCTGATATCATTCTCATGATAATATTGATATACACTGTGTACGCCCTATTTTGAACCAAATATCATTTCTAATGTCAGGTTGTATTTCACGTTGTAAGCAGTAATCTCATTTTCTACTGAATGATATACTGATACACAGTCTATGTTTTAATTTCTATTTTGTCGTTTACTGTTCAATCTTATATTCGGTCTGGACATGTCTTATGATTGTTGATTGGAATATCATTTGTCTTTGTACTCATATTCATCATTGTCATATAGCCATTTGAGCTATTCTACATCATGGTTTGTTTTGCATTGGAAATATGTCTTGAAGGTTATGTCATGTTTCAAATTTGAAACTGCAATCATATCATGGATTACCTGAGATTCATTCTCATTCAAGTAATATCTTTCACTCCAAATTCCAATATGATGTGTTTTACTGGTTGTATCAGGTGAACTTTGAAGTTAGAGTTAACTTTGACTGCCCAATCTAAATGAAGGATGGATTGTTCCTTGAACCAATCAGATGTCAGCCAATATAATACTAAGATTCCTTTCTTATCTACCTTAACTTGGAAATTTTGATTTGAATAACTGGCTGTTTGAGGGGTGTTTTTTGGTTTTGATTTTTTGGGTGGTGTGTGTGGGTGGTGGTGTGTGGGGTGGGGTGCAGGGGTTATAAAATTGAGATCAACTGGTCTGAATGCTGTGCTGTCTCATCCTGAGAATTTGAGAGTCTCAACACTGCATTGATGACAACAATTCATCTGCGTCAGTTTCCGAGGAAGGTATAATATCTTCATACAGACATTTATCAGGGTGAACAACCAGGATATTGTTGGAGTGTTGCTAAGCTTAGTATTAAATCATATTCATGATCAAAGTGAAATCTTTGCATAAAAAATGATTGTTATTCATTGTTTGTTTTAGCCGCAAGTATCTAAAGACTAGATACAATGTGGAGAGGGATTTTTCCATTGAGGTAAGAATACCTGAATATACTATTGTATATGTCAAAATATGTGTGTTAATTTAACTTGATAAATGTCACCCCATGACAATTTCATGACAGAAAAAGTGCTGTTCATAGATTCTGCAGTTGGCAATCAATGGTAAATAAAAATGTTCAGTTAAAAATACATTGCTGTGTCACTTTGTGTTGTGTTACAGTATTGCCATTGTATAAATCTCCCCAAAAATGTGTACCAGACCACGGGGCTACTCTTAAGACCTACCAGCCTGCTTGAAAACCAACTAGTCCTTAGTATCAACATTGTCTAAAAGTATTCTTAAGTCAAATACAACAGAAGAAACGTACATTTGATGAGCTTTAGAAAACTCACTCAGCTTGGTTTCTGCTGTAAGTTACAACAGATAAACATGTATGAGACGAAAAACTAATTATCATATTCAATACTATGTTATGGGAAAATTGTCTGGAATGATAATAGAGTGTCAGTCAGGTAACTTTAATTTGTTCACACCAGGCTCAACATTAACCCATCTTGGGCATTCTGGTGGATGGGTATTTCGAACACTGGTATTGTACCTTATTCATATTATTCATTGTTATTAACCATGCCAAACTTGGATTAAAATATTACGCACAGGATACAAAATGTTCCATGACTCAGTTTAGGGCTTTTTAAAAGACTTTTCTCTACAGATGTACAGATAAGTTGCGTATCTGGGTACATTATGCAAATATTTATGTGAAAACCCAATTCCTATTAAGTCTATTGCATACAAGTACACTTTAATTATTGTAAATACTCAATAAATGTGATCCTACATGCGTACACACAAAAATGTCAAATCTGAGCTTGCGTAACTGGTGGATAGATAAAATAACTGAGGTATATTGAGAGGTTCTGTTTCAGGACATGAACTTGACAACTTCCAGTCATTCTTATTGTTTCTCATATTACAGATCAAATATAAATAACAAACACTAACATTTAAACTTTATTATATTGTAAAATTAATGGAAAATGGCAAAATACCCAATTGAGTTTGAGTGAGGTGAGTACAATATATTTGGTTACTCAACGGAAAAGTAGGATACCCAGTTGAGATGAACACATGCAAGTACATAACTCAACGACCCAAAACGTTATTTGTAGCTCTGTTTCTATCACCAACCTTTTATTTCTTTAAAAACTATTCTTTTGCAGTATTTGAAAGGCACCTGATTAAAAAACTATGCAACATTTCAGTTGTGAATCAAACCCTAGATTCTTCTGGTTTACTTTTACATAGAAAATGTTGTCATTTTGTAAAGTTTGTGCATATCCTGTTTTGTTAAGTGTGTGGATGGTTGCCGAGGGACAGACTGTGTTAAAGACTGAAGAAAGCAAATGCTCGTCTTAGCAATGTGTTTAATAACAGAAAACTTGAAAGTTTTGATATTATTATCTGCCCAGAAAACACAAGTCATAAAGCCAAATATGAGATAATCAGAGTCATGACGTATGATTTAAAGACCTTAGAACTAATGGTCTTATTTAAAAACAACATCATTTACCAATAATTGAAACTTTTTCTGAACGCTGGCACATACAAATTGTTTTGTGGGAAATGGCTGTGATAATTATAGTGATCACAGCAATAAAGATTTAGATTATCTACATGTATGTTATATAGTATATATTATCAAATCTCTGTATGCATATGAGGTCAGAGACTTTATTAAAATACATATAAAATGTGTTTTTCCTTAACTGTTCAAGGCATCTGTGTACATTAACCTGTCAACAGGTGTGATGACTCACTGACTGAGTTTAGTTTTACGCCGCTTTTACCAATATTCCAGCAACATCATGGCGGGGGACACCAGAAATGGGCTTCACACATTGTACCCATGTGGGGATTCGAACCCAGGTCTTCGGCTTGACGAGCCAACGCTTTAACCACTAGGCTACCCCACTGCCTCCAGGTGTGATGAAGTACATATGAGTGGCATAGAACTACAAAGATAGTCTATTTCATATAGCTCATTATATTTCAATAAAGAATGGGTTAGTCTGTCTCACAGTCCCTGAACCACATTATTTTTCCTTCTGCCCAGCACTTTCTGCAATGCTAGAGCCCTAAATGAAGCAAGTCTAGATTTCCTCAGGTTCAGGAATCTCCCAGCTCTTTTTCAGTTTAAATCTATATCAATATTACCATTTCTGGTGTCCCCCACCTGATATTGCTGGAATATTGCTAAAACTAAACCGGTGTAAAACCATACTCACTCACTCACTATCAATATTGATTTGCCATCTCACTGGGGCTTCTTTTCAGTTATAATAAATGTATTTGTTACTATCAAAATTAAATATATTCAGAGACTAAGCATTACTCTAAGAATGGGTTGCATCTGGTTTTGTGATTTACATATTCTGTAGTTACCAAGGGACATTAAATGATCTGAAAAGTTTGGATTAGAACAGGGGATCAAAATCTGATTATGAATTTATTATGGACCAATATGGCTGTAATATTTCTAAAAGCAGCGTACAACCCTTCTCACTAACTCACTTAAGCTTCTAAGCCTTGTTAGCTGTGTCAAATGGAGCAGTTAGGTGATGTACACACTCCTTTGAATATGTGAAAAACATTATACACAGCTAATGCTCTTTGATTGGATCAATATTGAGTTTCAGGAAAACATGAGGCAGTGATTCTATCTGTGCATGGGTGAAGAAATGTCAAATTCAGAAACTTGTTTCTTCATAAGTAAACTGTAAAATATCACTTGTCTCAGTACAAAGATCTACATGTCCATATTATTGACCAAAAATGGTGCTTTATCCCTAAATAGAAGATGTATGTATTTGTTTCCAAACAGGATATCAAAATTTAGAAAAAGCAGAATATTAATGGGAATACATTTTATCATGTTTATCTATCTCCAGGTCATCAGACAAGGTATTTTATGTGGAGTTGCACTTGGATGTATCTATTCATGACTTTACCATGTATGAGAACAGGATGATTATAAGATTTACTTCTATTTTCAGCAACCACCATTACCAGAGGTATATCTAGATATATTGGTTTAGCAATCCCAGAATATTAATGTCAATCATCATAGATATTGCATGCATATATCAGGTTCCTAGTTTTTTAAGACACTATTTTCATGTGAATCAAAGTGAAGGCTTTTAATAGAAGACTGATAATAAAATGTATAGGGTTTCATTAGCATTTACTCTGTCTTTTCTCATGTGGTATGCTACTTGTAATGTGATTTCACAGCAGTTTTCTAGCAGTTGCAATTATGAAAAACATGGCTCAGATTGTAAAAGACTTTCGAGTGCTTGAATTATTTTTGTGGTCAGCAAGGAAAGGAAAATATGTTTACAGTGTTTGTGAGGCTAGCTGCTTTTGGCAGGATTGATCACAGCCTATGTCACAACTGTTTGTTTGTTTCGCTTGAGCAATATTGAATAATCTGCAACCTGCCACAGTATAGCTGGAATTGTCCTCACTGGCATAAAACAACATACGCTCATCTCACATTCATATATTGTGAAAATGACAAATTATACACTTCAGTATTAAGGTATATTTTCATAATTACAAACAGTTAGAGTTACCAGTTTACTAAGGATGATGGTAACACCATGTAATTGTTTTAAGAAGGCATTGTAATACTGTAAATCATGAAATTAATGTGTCACGAATTTAATGCGAGTACGAGGGTCTAGTCTAAAAGGCGTCACGAAATAAATGCGAGCTCAGGAAGCTGTGTTGACGATAAAATGTGACAGTGAATCTTTGATGTTGTTCGTTTTCTTTTCATTTGTATTTACCAGTTAACCTGAATTGAGCTTGTTAAGAAATGAATGGAAATGAACTGACAATGTTTTGATTACGCTGTCATGTTTGATCGTGTGATTGCTTGCTACTACTTGTCTTATGACAACATTTATAAACGTATCTGGTATGAATCATACTATGATCTGAACCTAGCTTCCCAGTGTGAACACCATGCACTCTCCCCAAAGCTATCAGTACCAGCTTTGTCCCATGTCAGACTTACACCATGTACACCTCATCCCTGTTTTTCTTTCAGTTCGAGAACTTGATGGATGATGTAAGTACACGCAGCTCCTCTTAGGACTAAAGAAAATACTTGTGTTTCTGTATCCATGGTAACATGACCCCTCCAGCATTTCAATGGAGATGCTGAAATTTTAATACAGGTGTAAACATGATAAACAGGTGTCGAGAAAACGTTTGTGGTTTTTACTAACCAGTGTTTGTTTATGTATGGTCAGGCATGTTACCCAAAACACAAGTATTTTGTTTGGCCTTTCGCCAGTCACTTTCCTCACTGAATAGTTGTGTAATTCTACTCGTCAGGTCACTCTTCTCATTCCGAAAAAATGTTACTAAAACTGCTGTTAAATTCTTGAAGGCTAGATTTTGGGTTGCACCTCCCTGTGGGGATTGTGAGTGCCCCAAGTACCCTGTGCTAGCCTCACTAGGAAATTACAGGGCACAGTTGGCCCCATCTTTGTTTCATTTTGGCACTTGGAAGGCGTAGATCGATGCTCATGCTGTTGATCACTGGATTGTCTGGTCCAGACTCGATTATTTACAGACCGCCGCCATGTAGCTGGAATATTGCTGAGTGCAGTGTTAAACAACCAACCATTCATTATAGTGGTACTGTTGGTCCCTTCTTCCCCATGCTTGACTCTGTATGGGACTTGCAAGGCATTGTTGGTCTCAGCACCGATTTCGGCTTTGTAATTTTTAAATAAGGCCAGACCAATTTTATTTCCTGTTTTACGGATTTGGCAGTTTATGAAGTGTATATTGGGCAAAAAAATATTTTCTTGTAAGTTTACAATTTTGGCCCACAAAAACATTTAGGTTTTATTTTTTTAGCGGGGAAAATTAATTTGTATTTTTTTTCTTATTCTTGAAAAAATATGACAGGCGGATCCGTAAAACAAGAAATATAATTGGTCTGGCCTAATAAAAAGGATGTGCTCACTTTCTGTATTAAGATTATATAAGGGTACTAGTCATCTGTCATTCGTTTATATATTATAAATACTCCAAATTTAGATTTACTTGGCAAATTTGTTGCATCAGTTACGTTTTATCAACTCACCAACATAGATCTTTGTACTTTCTGTACAGCTTGTTTTGTCTGGATTGACAATTCTGTCAGATTTCATGGAAATCATGCTTACAGAATATTGCAACCTCATGGCAACATGATCTTTTCTCTGATATGATGAGGGCGGTGGGGTAGCCTAGTGGTTAAAGCATTGGCTCGTCACGCCGAAGACCCGGGTTCGAATCCCCACATGGGCACAATGTGTGAAGCCCGTTTCTGGTGTCCCCCGCCGTGATGTTGCTGGAATATTGCTAAAAGCGGCGTAAAACCAAACTCAGTCAGTCTGATATGATGATCATGACACCTCCATTGAAGGTCATGTCAGGTGAACTCAGTGCAAACTTTGTCTGCCTCATTTTGTTTTGAGTACTTTGCTCACACGTACAGAGAATTTAGAGTGGTTCTGATTGGCTAATTGGAAAGTTCACTTGACACAACCTCCTTGGGATGAGACCTTCACAAAAAATATTTTTCAAATTTATTTTTTTAAGTTAGTTTTTAATTATTCATGAAGAGAGTTATTGTAGTGAAGTTAAAGGTCTGCAAGATATATTTCAATATTCCCAGAAGAGAAGGTGAGGACGCCAAGTGTTCATGTCGAAAAGGAATTAGACTGACTATATTTAATTATAGGGGTGTTAATAATCGTATTTCAAAAGATGTACTGTTGGTGGATGTGTAGAATGTCGTCCATCATGTGTTGTATGTTGTATGTTTGTATGTTGTATGTTGTATGTTGTATGTTCCAGGAGCCTCAGGAGGACATGAACCGGTGAGTGTTGTGTGAAGATGTTCTCTGTTGTAGTCCATGTACTGTGTATAACAGGAGTTGTAGTCAATAACACAGAGGGCAGACCTTGCTTTGCTGTTTTAACTTGTCCTATCAGCATGATCAGCATTCCACATCAGTTTAATTTCCTGGATGTTGACTAATTGTCATCCCAAATATCTCATATATGTTTTTCATATTTCAAACCTATCTAGCAGAATGTCCTATGAGATATTGATCTCATAAAATGTTCCTGGTAACCTTTCCTCAAACTAATTCTTTGTCGTATAAACATGCAGAATTAATTGAATTAAAACGCCCCCTGAGTGCCCCATGTAGTGTTAACCGACTGAACCTGATGATGTGGATGCTACAGTGTGTGACGTGTCCCCATGATGAGGAGTAGTGTTCATGCATTCAACCATTGGTTGACTTTGCTCTCGCACCTGTAGCAGGAACATAGCCTAGCAACTAGAGTTCCAGAATTAAGGCTCCGTATGATGACTATACCATGTTTGTAGGTTTCACAATATGGTAGGCATCACCTCCCAGATAGTAACTGAAAACATGTTTACAGCAATTTTTTACCCAACTCACTGGCTGTCAGGATTCCAAGTAGTGTGGCAATGCAACTTCATGAAGGATCTCATGGCACTGTTCTCCAAATTCCACAGTAGCCTCTATCAGTTTCTGAATTTGTATTTTGGAACAAGTATGAAGTATGAAACAATATGAACGAACAACCATATCTTTATTGTTAACTGTTTTCTATGCTGTAGTTGGAAGTTCGAGTTCCCTAATTAGTATTTGACCATTACTGAAAAAATCTGTCATAAAGTGTTACAGCCAAATTGTGACCTTCATGGTCACCTGAAAAGAACTGCTCTGAGTTGTGATCTTGATGATGACCTCAGATGAACAAAAATGAGTTGTGACCTTGATCCTGAACAACTTTGACCTGTGACCTTGATGATGACCTCAGACAAAAAAACCTTCAGTTGTGACCTTGAACTGAAACGATCAACTTTGAGTTGTTCTGATTGATCTGATGTGTCATTCTCATTCCTTGGCACTGTTTTTGTCACTGAAAGAGTCAGAATGGATTGTGTATTAGGCTTGGTAATTTGGTTTGATTGGTACCCTGGCAAGTCATATCACTTTGTCACTAGTGGTGTTCCGATTAATTGAAATAATCGAAGATTGGTCACAGTGACCAAACGACCAAGCAATCGATCACATTTTCTCATAATCGAACATAAACGATTTTGGAACTACTGTTTTAGTCTTTGAAATACTTGACAATGGAACATATTGTTGAAGTGTCAGGGCCTGAAAGCGTGTTTAATTCTTAGAAAATTCACTTCACTAACTGAAAAGCCATGACTGAATATTTCTTGAAGACTCCGGGAAGTTTATGTTCATGATATATTAGTCATCACTTTAAAGTAGCAAGTTGCATCATGTTATACATATCTGCAATAACAACCTGGATAGAAAAATCTGAAAAATGATGCTAACCAATTTTTTTCGATGATTGTTCGTTGGTAATGAATCAATCATCAATTGTGAGATTTCAACCACTTCCCAACACTATTTGTCACTGGTTTGCCTGCTCAGGAAGTGATTATTTACAGACCATCTTCATGTGAGCTGTAATAATGCAGTGTTAACCAATAGACATACATTCACCCATTTATTACAGTTGTAGGCTTGGTATTCATGGTGGGAGTCAGTAGGCATATATTTCATTAATGAAATAAGTACGACAACTGTGTTGAGGGTCATTTTCAAAGAATTTGTCAGGAATTAGATAATGGTTTATTGAGATGTTTGTACCCCTGGCTCTCCCTGCTATGCTATTATGCATCTTGCAGTGTTTGAAGGAAGACAGAGGTAGATAATGCAGTATTGTTGTTGTAGATGACGGACAGAGTTGATATTCCAGTCTCAAACTATTTATATCTAATTGTCTACACTTAACTGATCACATTTGCCCCGAGCAAGAACCCTGATAGAATCTGTCTTTTTTTTCCAATAAGTCAGTGGTTAATTCCTGCTAGCTGTATTAAAGCTTGTGTCTAAAATGTGGTTGAGTTCATTGGGACTGTAAACGCTGGAGAACTGTTCTTCATTCTTCATGATGTCACTGCGTGATTTGAGCAGAGTCATGAAACCAGAACACAACCACTGACAAGCTTCAAAACAAATTACCACATACTTCTGTTTGATGAACCTCTAGTTTCTTCTCTCATGGCTACTCTGTTGTACATTACAATATAAAAAAATAATTGCTTCCCGTAAGAAGTTAAATCCAACATGTCTGAGTTCTCAGTTGCTACCTAGATACAGCTGTTTAGAAAGGATGGGTGATTTAGTGGTTTGCCTTTTCACATTCAGTAATCATGCTGTTGATAATATGTCATGAAAGGGGTCAGTCATGCATTTGTTTCATTTATCACTAATAACATTCCCAAATGTATATAGATATTATATATGCCTCAAACATTGGGTGAGTCATCGTTCCCGCATGTCTCAAATAATGTATCTGTATATATGTTTCTGATTTGTGTACTCTTGATTGAAACATTGGAATGTGTGAAGAGCTGCTGTTGTGTCAGAGTCAGGTTTTCGGAAATAGTGACCCTAGTTTGAAAATGATTTCAACCTAGCATGCCACCGGGACTGGGGCTTAGTGATCACTGAGTTGCTGACAGCCATTTGTAGCCAGCAACATGGATCGCTGCTCATACTGTTGACATCTGGCTGTTCAGCTTAGATTCCTTTATTTAGACGCTCCAGTGATATTGCAGTACAATATTCACTCACTCATTCACTTGAGAGTCTTTGATGAAGGGGGGCAGTGGGGTAGCCTAGTGGTTAAAGCGTTCCCTCGTCACACCAAAAAGGCCCGGGTTTGATTCCCCACATGGGTACAATGTGTGAAGCCCATTTCTGGTGTTCCCCACCGTAATATTGCTGGAACATTGCTGTCAAAGACAATCTATGAAGGTCCGGGTTAGAATTGATCTTCAGTAACCCATGCTTGTCGTAAGAGGCGACAAACAGGATCAGGTGGTCAGGCTCGTTGACTTGGTTGACCCATGTCATTGTATCCCAATTGCTGATCGATGTTCATGCTGTGGATCCCTGGATTGTTTGGTCCAGGCTTGATTATTTACAGACCGCGCCATATAGCTGGAATATTGCTGAGTGCAGCGTAAAACTAAACTCACTCACTCACTGTCAAAGACAATACTAATGACTGACTTAGACTATTATGATCTTATCAATGACGTTACTTTGGCGTGTCCATATTATTGTCATAAGTGCAAAGATAGTGCCGATTGTAAGAAAGTTGATTGCAGAGTTGTGTCCCTTGGTTGCCTTGACAACGACTTTTGGAAACCCTGTAATGTTCCTTGGTTTGCCAGCACTACATCTGTGCTCATGAGTTTCACTGAAACTAGAAATGGTCCACAATATGGTCTGGCACATCTCAACAGTTCTATGACACATCATGCTAGTCTTACAAAATGGCCTCCATTCTGGAGCAGACGTGGGAAGTAATACTCAGAGATTTCACAACCCGTCTCCACACATCTGAACTTCCATTCTGTCAGTTGACAAGGAATTCATATACAGTCCGTAGCATATCCTTTGATGACAGAATGGAACATACTAACCAGTATCAACACTGTACTCTAAGTGTTAGCCAAACCCACTCTCTGACTCATTGAAGTAAAAGGGACCTGACTGGTTTCAATTCTTCTCAGGAAGATGCTGGAAAAAGTCTTCAGCTTATAATAATTTGAATGTGTATGTTTTCTTGATAAACAATATGTCTTTCTGAACCTCTCATTGCGTCCTCCCTGAATGCAGAGGACAGCTAGAGTTAACTAGCGGCCCTTTCACAGTTTCCAACTATGTCAAATGGGTAGGTGCCCAAACAACTGAACAGTCGTTCAGTCCTTCTGTCCATCCATTCCTCTTTTCTCCTTTGTCTGCTGTCTGTAGTCACAGTCTCCTCACTTATCCATTGTATTATATCTAATTTTGAATAAATAACTAGACATTCGCTTCAAAGGTTTATTTGGGAAGGCTTCACCTTGTCCATATTTCCCATCCCTGAGTCGGGATTTCTGTCCCTCAGCATGATCTCTTATTTCGAAAATGGCTCAAAACAAAGCTGTGGTTGCTATAGGCCCAGGGTGTTTATGCTAACTGATTGCAGATAGTACACTGGATATTAGAGGATGTCACAGTTGTAGTTTGTGTTGTCACCACACCATGCATCAAGGCAGCAGACATTAGCATCAATTTCGGGGCCATCTTAACAAGGCTTAAGAGGCCCCTATTGCGGCGGATACAAGCCAGACACGCTTTTCTAACTAGGTAGCCATGCCTGTTATATGTTGGCTGAAACACCTGTTACTCATTATCTGTGGTGGAATATTTTTAATAAAATGCATTTGTTGTATGAATGCTTAAGGCTGAAATTGAAGTAAGGGTTAAAAATATTGAAAGAACTGTAGTATTATTAGAAATGTCACAAATATAAATCTCTCACTGATGAAAAATATTTTTCAGCAATTTAACTATCCACTGAATATTGGAATGGGTGTTATTGATAGTTATTGCGATTTAAAAACATGTACTTTCATGATTGCACTTTGGGGGGATTCAATCCATTAGTGACCGAAATGTATTACAGTTTAATGTGAGTATGATAAATATGGTTAATAACAATGGGGGAATCATAACACAGATGGCCAACTGATCCAAGACAAAGCCATGGCGCTTAATCGTGATGTATGTAATGTAGCTAAATGAAAACATGTTTGACTTTTTTATAACACCTATTTTAGGGTAGGCCAGTTTGCCCTAAGGCACTGCCACTTGTGCTTGAACATGATGTATGCAATTGATAGAAATAATGTTTTACCTTTTTATACAAATCTTTTAGGGTTAGCGCCAAAGGTAGAATTGGTTCAAGTAATCCAATGATAGTAAAAATGTTTTTGGCTATAAACAGGCTGAAGTATGCTAAGGAAGTGTATGTACTGAAACTTTAACTATGAAAATTTATCACAAATCACTGTTGAAAGCATAATCATGACTTTATGTCAAATTGGTGACATGATCTTAAGTGATAATTAAATTTATGTTTGGTACAATGTATTTGAAATGTGACACGGAAATAAAAGTTGTCGGGTATTTAAAGTGTTTGTGTATACTGACTAGGAGTTAGTTTTACTACCACAGTTAGGAATGGCATGCTGTTGCTGTTGTATTGTTTATAGAATTCAGGTTTTGCTGTTTATTATTTGTATGATTTATTTTGTTCAGCCCATTGACTGAACGTGAACGATTGCTGTTGTCCCACCAGCAGTATGATGCAATTGTGCATGAACAAAAACAAGTTGATGCTGATATTGATGCTAAGGTAATTGTCTTTTATGTTGAGTATTTTCGCATGTGCTTAGTTATTTAACTAATGCCACCCACACTGATCTGATCTGTATTATAATTGTGATTGTGTTATTGTTTAGCCTGTTTGTTGTGCTGTGATGATATGCTGTGTTGTTGTAAATGTAGCTGTTTGTATTGTTGACTGTGGGGTTCTGGGATAGTTCCCAGTTGTCCCTAGGCTTGATGTAAGAGCTGACGAAATTGTGGATCACGTGGTCATAATGTCTGACCAGTTGTGTGTGTGTCTTACGATGTATGTTGTTGGTCATTCTGTCCATCACTGGTTTGTCTGAGCTGATGGTTTACAGACCGCTGTGATGTAGATGTGATATTGCTGACTGCGGTGAAACATCATCTGCTCATTCACGCACACTACCCGTGAAGATCTGGGTTATAATTGGTCTTCAGTAACCCATGCTTGTCGTAGGAGGCAACTAACAGGATTGGGTGGTCAGGCTTACTGACTTGGTTGACACATGGTATCGCATCCTAATTGTGTAGATCGATGCTCATGCTGTTGATCACTGGATTGTCTGGTCCAGACTCAATTATTTACAGAGTGTGGCATTAAACCAACCAAACCAAAACCATTCAAGCACACTCTTGATCCCAGTCTTCTGCAGATGCCTATAGTTGCTGTTTCTTTCTTATGGTCCAATGTGGACCCAGATAATTGTTTGAACACAAGCTTTAAACTTGGTATTGATAAAGCTTCTTCTAATCTTATTAAAACAAGCATATGATTACTGGCAGGATCAACCAGATAAGCGTCGCCTCAGATACCTCTCTACATAAAGATCTGACATCTGCTCAGTAGATGGTGTCATCACAGGCCATTGTTGATTATAATCTCCCACAGAAGCCCCAGTTTAAGTTGGGCCTGTGAAACAGTTTCATGGACTGGTCATTTATTATGGCAGAGGGAAGGGCAGTCGAGCATGGAGGCATGATAAAATGACACATCGCAAAATGGGGTTGCCAAAATGAATCACACTTATACTTTAAAGAGCAGGGTGGGATTTGGAAATATGATACAGTTCTATTTCTTCAAATAATAAGCCGGTGGTGGGGTAACCTAGTGGTTCAGGCGTTTGCTCGTCATACCGAAGTCTTGGGTTCGATTCCCCACATGGGTACATTGTGTGAAGCCCATTTCTGGTGTCCCCACCACGATATTGCTGGAATATTGCTAAAAGTGGCGTAAAACCATACTCATTCACTGACTCACTCAAATAATATAATGATTGACTTGAACATTATTGGGATTGGTCTTCTATTGTAAAGAGGGATATGTGGAAATGTTGTATAAAATGGGGGAGGTGCAGCAACAAGTGATACAATTCCAAACCAAAATCACCCCCTTCCCTCCTCCATCTTCTTCCCTCCGCCAATAATTGATGACCGGTGTCTGCGTAGTCTCAGGTGATAAAACATAATTACAACATGAAGTTAAACAGGAAGAACATTAGGGGATGAGTAATGTGTTGTCAAAGTGTGGATATACATTATGACTGTACATTGTTATTTATTTGATCTATGGACAATGATTGATCATTCATGCCCAAAACTGACTTTAAAATATTATAATTTGATTAGACTTTGAGATGACGTATGAGTGTAATAATGGCTTTAAATGTATATGTTAGAGATGGGGATCAAGATGCACATTTTGTGTCAAACAAAGTTTACTTGAGCTACAATCTAAAAACAGACAGGCAGTTGAAAATGTTATGGACACAGATAAATATAAACTCTTTCGATGGAAAAGTATTATATTTCACTCAGTGACTGAAAATAATCTGATATAATATTTGCAAATTGTAAAAATGGTTATACATTAATACAGGCCTTTGTAAAAACTATAGAAATAACTTATTAAAACTAATGAAATATAGCATCTATTTGTTTGAGTCTTTAGACAGTATTCACAAATATTTTATCCTAAATATGAAATAAGAGATTTCATAGAAAAACCATTTTGTTTTCAGGGATGGTAGTCAGTATTTCATATTTGGAATTCCATTACTTTCTCCAACATGAACAGGTGCTCAATAATTATTTTTATAATAAATAGATAATAATGATCAGTTATCTGTGGACACACGCTCTGCAAAAAGTGACACATTTGAATGTTCCTGTAAAGCTAAAGTACTGTCGGAAATGCTAGAAAAATGCTTTTTGACTTATATTTAAAATTCAGAGGTATTACAGTTACTTAAATAACAAATATCACTTTAAGAAACATCTACCTAATGTAGACCGAGGGAATAAATTTTGAGACATGTCCTAAAATGCGTTTTTACTGATGAAAATACCAAAAACTTAGAAAAATAAGGGGTAGTGGGACGTTATTTGATACAAACATTAACTGCCTGTGTTACGTCATCAGAATCCACGGTATCGACAGGTGAAATTGACACCTGAGCACACGCTCGGGCGAGGGGTCATCTCAATAGATGTTTTCTTCAAAATGTTGAATATGTGTACGTATAGTATACGTATTGGTTATGTAAGGGATCATTTGTGTATGTGTGTTTGTTGTTAAATAAACATATGAATTACTGTACATTGGAAAGAATCCTATCACTTGTGTTATCTTATCGATTGATTGTAGAAATGTGCAACGTTTTAATAAATGTTTTGCATGTCAACAGTATAGTTCTTTGCAAAAATATGGATGTAATTCGGTCAGTTTAATCTAGTTGTGAACATTGGCCAAAGATTTAAGGAAGTCACTGGTGTAGCTTCTTTAGAATAGATATATTCTTCTTCTCCTAAAGTTTGTAGACCGCCCGTCTAAGTACTCCCTTGTCAAAGTTGTCAAGGATGGTTTTACGTCCCGGGTTTGCTTTTGAGACGGTCCCTGGCCTGTCTGATTTGTTTACAATATTGTACACTTGTTGGTAAGACATACCAACAGCTCTACAAGTTCTGTAATAAACCATTTCTATACTAATGAAAGGTTTACCTCTGTCTTTTTCAAGCACAAAAAACTTATAAACCTTTGCAACAATCGTCGGCAAATAGTTGGCCATAGTGGACGCTGTGATAAAGATGTGCATGCATGATGGGAAACTTATTTATCAAGACTTAACATTTATATTAATATTTCTTCAATAAAGAAACGATAATTAAGTAAAGTAACACAAACATTCAACATTTATTTGTTTAAGAAAAATGTTAATTTTTATTTTTACACCACCTGTATTATTAGCATAAATGTAAAGACTATTTCAGATTTCTGTTGTTGAACTCTAAAAAAATCTTAAGTTGTTGTTTTGGTACCAAATTCTCTCCTGTAAACTGCCCTTTAAATGCATGGGAATGTTAAATCAATTGAAACAAAAATTAGGTACACTATAGGTGAGTTGATATATTGATAACATAATACATTTATCACCTTTCTAAAGATATTAAGGTTAAAAAGCATTTTCTAGCATTTCCGACAGTACTTTAGTCTTATGTACTCCCTCCAGTAAATCAGGTTCTTGATTAAAAAAAAGAGTCCTGTTTCCCCAAATCAAGTAGTTGCTTCCTGTTCAATGACATCGGACATTTCACCTTTGATTAATCACTATGTGTCTGGTCAACACTTGATTATTAACACACTTAAAAGAGTTGGATATATTATGGATATTGGAGTTAAACAGTAAACCAACTATAACAAGTATAAGACAAAATATTATGGATGTAACTTCTTCTCCATTGTATACACAACGTTTCTGGGATTTTCCTTGCCCCTTTGTCAGGTGAATGACGAAGGGGCAAAGAAAAGCCCTGAAACGTGTATGGAATAAAGAAGAAGTTGACATCCATAATATTTTGTCTTATACTTGAATACCAACTTCTATATGCCTCTCAAGAACAACTATAATATGTATAAGGTGTTGGCTGTGGCCAGAGAATCAATAAGAATGGATGAAGTAAAGATGTTCCTTCCATCTGAGACCTGACGAACAAATAAAACTATATTACATTGTACATTACTTTGGTTTTGATTAATTTCTTATTCAGGATGGTCAAATGTAAAAGGAAATAAGTATTGTCTAAGTATTGTAAATATCTGATTAAATGTGCATACGCAGTGTATGAAATAAGCCAGAAACACAGCCAGACATCAGGGCTGGTAACTTCAAAATGTTACCAGCCCAAATAGAATTTAACCAGATCAGACACCAAAATATGGTGAATTTACTCAGATGTATGGGACGTCTAAAATTTCACCAAACCATCGGGCTGGCTAGCTGAAAATTTTGACCGACCGTCAGAAATCTAGCTCGTCTCGGGGGCTTGGACGGTCCTTATTCCATAGACTGGCATATGTATGATCTATGTAGAACTATCCTGATAGTGATGCTGAAGTAAACTGGGTCAGCAGCACAACTTGACACGAACAGAATGCCAATTTTTGTCATCATCCTTCTTCAGCCATGTATAAAAAAATCTGCAGAGTTGTATATGTTACAGATGAAATATGCCTTGAAAAGTCAAACTAAATATGATAGGTCAAAACTTGTATTATTTCTTATGCATCAACGTCATTTCAAACACTGGCGCTTTTCACAAAGACTTGATTTCAGGTTGATAATCACCCCAAAAAATTGAATTCAAATGTCAAAAGTTTCATGTGATAATGCATACATGTCCTTTTGCAATTTGATTTTGGAAGATTGTCGATTGTGACAAGAATGAAAAGTGATGTTAACAGTTATGGAAATAAACCTAAAAATCACATCTGTGGTCCTCATCTCCTTGTAAAATGTAAAAAACTATTAAAATGTAAATCAGTAACCATGGTTACGTCAGCCTCATCAGCAGCCGCAGATGCCATCATGTTTGGTGTTCCAATGAATAAGTTTCCGTTTATTCGTAATTCACTGAATGACGAGAATCCTATTTGATTGATAAAGTCATTATTTCCTGAGCGTCATCTTCAAAAGCCATGAAATTAATTGAATTTGAATTTTGGTTGGTGTAAAGAAAGATTACAAAATTACTCTAGTTTGGCATTCATAATGAGTTCAATGAATATTTTCCCCAGAATGTTTAACCAAATATCGGATTTCTTTTGCAATTATGAAATATTTGTCAAAATGATAACATAAGGGCTGAAGCAAGTAAATAAATCAGCACTTTACTATCTTCTACTCTTCCTCAATGTGTTTTGTTCAGTCCAAAGTTATGGCTCAAAGACATCTAATGGTCTCTGTCACACACTTGCACATATGGTTTTATCCATCTGAATTATATATATTGTAAAGAAAGAACACAATAAGTAAAAATTAAGTTTATTGGAAATGTCAGATTTCTTTAAAACATGGCTGATTTGAATTAAGTAGAGCCTTTAAAATGGTTGCTATAGAAACTAGATTTGATATTAGAAATTGCATGTTTTGCAAAACGATCAGAGAAATAGACAAAGGTGTTGAAGTTCTTACTTATTTTACAAAATATTGAGCAGAAATATCTGTAACAAACATAGTTTTTCTTTAAAAATAAAACTTTGTGATAATTTGCCCTTGGAATATAATGCACATGACCTTGATGTCAGTATTTACACTGTGCTCTCACTTGTCTGTCTGTGTGTCCTTCCTGCTCTAGCTTGCACAACAGGAAGAGGAAATAGAAAGGGAGGAGGAGGCATATTATGAAGCCAAACGTGAGGCGGCTCGTATTACCAAACTCCAGCGTGCCAAAGAGGCTGCTGCCAAAAAGAATGCCACCACCAATGGTCCACGGTCCTGGCTGGGTGACGAAGAAGACTGGGAAGTGTAAGTCTTGATACTTGAGTTTTTGCATTTTCAGAATTATCTTCTTTTGATCAGATTTTACAGCATTGCAAATTCATCAGTTGTAACATATGTTATATTTGGGATTACACTTTCTTAGTTAAGTACAAATTCTAGTACCTTTTTGGGTACAGTCACATCTGGGATTCGAACCCACTCCCTTAGAGTCAGGCACCTAATCGCCAGCACACAAATCAGTCGCATAACCCACTCAGCCACTGCAACTTCCACATGTTGTACTAAAACAGTACTAGAATTTGTACTTTACAAAGAAAATGTAATCCCAAATATAACATGTTACATTTGACCACTTTCTAAAAAAAAATCCTGGATGTGAGAAGTGTGTACACCTTCACATATATTTTGTGAAAAACATAGCGCACATTATATTTTCTTTGAGATAAACTCTCAAGTCACATGTGGTTGTGCACCTGGGAGTCCTGACACTAAAATGGTGCAGTCCCTTCAATTCTTATTTGGACTGCCAGATTAACTAATAATAACTGAAGAAATATATTTGTCAGAGAACAGTACAGACCAACAGAAATCTGCATGATAACATATGACAGAAATACTGATCAAAAGGATGTGACTGTATGGACTAACAAGATGGATTATATTCTTGTTCCTCCTTAACAACACTTCTGAGATTCAGTAGGGTCAGAACATGAATTTGTAAGCTTGCTAACAGCTCTGTAACACCTCGTCCCGTGCACACAATATCGGAGATAATTTTATATTTTATATACAGGGCTGGTGGAGAGGATGATTTTGAGATCTTCCTAGCTAGTGTGAAGGCACGGTCCCTCGCTGCTTGCACAGCTACGGCAAGGTACGTAAATCGCCTTGGACAGTTAATGCATTTCTTGGCTAGGGATCCTCTGTATGCATTATGAGTTCTGTAGTTCTGTTCTTTTTTTGTGATGAGGGTATCATCGGTGAAGCCTTGAAATTATTTTGTATCAGATCTTTTACTCTCTGATATGATTCCCAGATCTGAGGACACCTCTAAAGATGATTGTGTCTAGTGAACTCAGTGTGACCATTGACTGACCGTTGACTGACCATTGACTGACTGTTGACTGACCTTTGACTGACCATTGACTGACTGCTGACTGACCCTTGACTGACCTTGACTGACCATTGGCTCCACATCTGAATGAAGGATAAGTGGGTCCTTGAACTAATCAGATGTCTGCTTTCTACAACATACAAGCTTCTGTTCTACACCACACTGTTTTGGAAATTTCAATGTAGCAACATGAAATGCATACAGTATACAAATGTACCTTTGGTGGTACTTCCTTTTAGTATAGAGGCCATGAGATGACAGGATGTGTAAGATATCAACATTAATATAATGGAGTGGCCATATGTACATCCAGGAAAGTTTGTTTCCAAGATATAAAGGTCAGATATGCTGGTCTGAACTGCATGCTTCACTTTCTCATACCGATAACCTCAAAGCCTCAACACTGATTAGCTGATCAGGAAGTTCACTTAATGCAAGTCAACATGGAGGCTTCTTCAGATCTTCACACAGAGTACCAGAGTAAAATATTTAATGTTAGCATGATTCTTGTATCACAGTCAGTCTTGATTACCTTGTGTGATGCATCTTTCACTGTTGCCATAAGGACCAGCTTTAGAATAGCTTCCTGACATGATTGTTTAGTGTCCGCTGTCATTAAGTTGGAATATTTGTTGAACGACAAACAAGCAAACCAACCTGCATTGTGAACAGGTATTTGTGTTGCCAGAAAGAACCTCTTAGTTGTAATTAGTTGTAATGTGTGAGAACATTCTCAGTATAATTATTTTGTATGGATGTTAGTTATATGGAGGTAATTAGTTGAGAGTATTTATATTGTATGTTAGGAAAACTCTAGTTACTCTGATTTCAAATGCAAAATCCGATCTCCAGTTTGTCTTTGAAAAACTCCGATTTCTGAGAAAATAAATATGTTTATAAATTTAGAATATTGGAAACAATTTTAGTAAATATCCATTTAAATATGTCAGTTTGAGTCCTATCTGATTAAGTATGCCCAGAAAATGCAGAAATTGCGTATTTTCAGGCTAAATCTACAGTCAGCTCTTGTTAATCCGACACTCGTTAATCCGACAATCATGTTAATCAGACAAAAAATTAGGGAACCATTTAAAATAGTGATAATAACTCTCGTTAATCCGACCTTCTCGCATTCCGACTCCGACACACCAATCTAGCAACTGATTACTGTAAATACATTGTAAAAACATTCGTTAATCCGACAATCAACACAGCCGGTCGGATGATCCGGCCGTATACAAACAATCACAAGTGAATGGTAATTAGCATGTGCCTTACTGGCTGCTTGACACCGACGTAGGTGAACATCACACTTGTTAATTAGGAACACAGGATAATTAATTGAGACGAGTGTCGGATTAACGAGAGTTGACTGTATATACTTTCATTGGGGTAATCCCTCAGACCCCAACTGTGAAGAAGGGGCCAACCAACCTCTCGCGATTATATCCCAAAACTTCCACATCCCAATACTACCACACATTGTTAAAACAACAACTGCTCATCACCCCTTTTTAGGTAATAGGATAGCCCAGGAAGTGCACTGAACTGAAACAACAGATAATGATACATCACCTGACTTAGCAGACTAGAGATTTTAGTAGAGAAGAGAGCAGTTACATGTAGTTAATAAATCTGAAATAAATATAATATAAATTTGTGCATATTTCATGTAGACAAAAACTGTAACGTTTGTTTTCTTGTCTTACCTTGATCTTATTGTTGTTGATTATTTTAATAGTATTCTGAATATGTATACAAAACTAAAATTATGCAACCAAAACGTACATTTAATTTACATGTATATTAAAATATGTAGTTTTACAATATAACATGGCTAGTGAGTTTTGAAATTTTATATTATTGCTTTAAAGGCCAACAAGCCAAACAATTCCTTTCAATTCTGATTTGCAACTATGAAGTAATATGTAGCAAAAAATTCAAAATGAGAATATGAATTGCATTATGCTTACTTGAAGCTCTACATACTTGCACTACCAAATCCAGGCATAAACAGATAAATGAATTTTAATTAAATAAGGAAATTGATAATGTTATGGTATGGACATGAATTGGCATTATTGTTATGGTAGCGACACAATAACAGTAATGTATGAATGTGTTTGAGTGAACCTGCCGCTGTCGTGATGTAGTGCATCATCAGTTGCTGCCATGTTTGTCTATAGGATCATCCATGCATTGTGAAAACCTTGTTGGGAAGGATGGTAGTATATTGATCAAAGAGACATTGTATTGGTATGTGGAGATGAAAGGTAGTTCCTGTCAGGTGGCCATCTGTGCACAGTTATCAGACTAGGACAGCGACTTGTATAGGATGTTTTATTGCTTCGACGAAAAAACCAAACAGTTATTTGATGATGGTGGGTCAGAATGTTTAAATGATGTCATGATGCTGAGGTGATGATTGTAGTGATGATGATGGTGAGGATTGTTGTGATGATGATGATGATGATGATGACTGTGGTGATGCTGTTGCTGCTGCTGCTGCTGCTGATGTTGATTGCAATAATTATGATGATGTGATGATTGTAGTGATGATGATGATGACGACAATGATGATGATTGCAGTAATTATGATGATGTGATGATTGTAGTGATGATGATGATGATGAATGAAATGTTAATGACATGATGGAGATGATGATGATTGTAGTGATGATGATGGTAATGATGATGATGATGATGATGATGATGTGTGATGAATGAAGATGATGAAATCATGATATGATGATGTGATCATGATGATGATGACGCGATGATGATGATTGCAGTAATTATGATGATGATGATTGCAGTAATTATGATGATGTGATGAATGAAATGATAATGACATTATGATGCTGATGTGATGATTGTAGTGATGATGCTGATGATGATTGCAGTAATTATGATGATGTGATGAATGAAATGATAATGATATTATGATGCTGATGTGGCAGTGTGATCACTGATATGAAGATTTCAATGATTGTGATATAATGATGGTGTTTGGCTACAGGTTCTGGTGATGGTCAGAGTTCGTCCAGTAGTACTGCCCATCGAGACAAAACCGAAGGGTCATCTCTTGACCTTGAGTGGGAACATGAAGCTGGTAGGTAGCATGTAATGACTGCCTGATTGAAAGTCAAACAAATCAAAGGTATCACTCCTTGAATTGATTATTTTGTGTATGGATGATAAAACAATTTTTCCCCATTGCAGGCGTTGTTCCTCAGTTACGACAGCGGTCGTCCACAGAAGAAAACCTGGTGGGTCTTACAAAGGACAGTCCCATGAACTCAAATGACCTTGAGTGGGACAATGACTTTGTGAGTGCAGAAGAATTAGAAAAAGAACAGTTGATATCACATTCCAATGGACGGTGATAGTCATTCTGCAATAGAATTGAAACCATGCATTTAGAGAAATACCATCAACAAGGAGGCCAGTCAAAGGTCAAGACAAGCCATCCAATGTAGGTTATTGACCTTGACCTGCATTCAAGTTACGACCTTGACCTATATATCTCAGCAGAGGAGGATGTGAGTTTCAACTTTACTTTTACCTGTAAATATTCAGCAAAACAAGGAACTGCTATTAACAGAAGAAACATTCCAGTATGGATATACGATAACAAGTGGACCATGTAAAATAATCAATGTTGTGATGTGGCAACGAGAACAACATTCTCATCGCCTTCCATGTGCCTGGCCTTGTGAACATGTGTGTACAAGCTGATGGATGACATATGACGTTTTGCTGGTGGATATGTGCATATCATGTAATGATACCTGTGTGTATATGTGGTACCTTCTGGGATGAAAGGATATACTGAGTAGCTTTGGCTGCCATGTTGTACAAATGCTGTCTGTTTGATGTTGGTCGTGCTTGATGCCTGGGTACCAACTGTGTATTCACTTGGGAGCACCTGCTGAGTCTGAGGATGAATGCTGGGATTATTATTATTAATATATTATCATTATTAATATTATTATACTATTGAAGACAGAAATATAGAGCACTGCTTCCATGAAAGATGACAAGGTCATGTTCTTGGTTTGGTCTTTATGGGGATAGATTTCAAGATAGATTTAATATTTGTTTAACTTGAAATTTGGTTCAGGACCACAGCTCCCAGATGTCATTCTGTTTCTTTTGAAAGGAGAAGCCAAACTATCTTTCTGGATCCATCCACTAATTGTCAGGACATCCAGTGCCCTTGTCTTGAAATGAAGCTTTCTGTGTGTAATATGGACCTGTAGAGTGTGGATCTATCTGTGGGTAGGATTCTGCTTGATCTATTTGATAGTGAGAGGCCAGATAAGCACTGTTGTTGTAAAACTATAACTTCTTTGCAAGGCAGTTAGTAGGAAGGATGAGATTTTAAGATGAAGAACTTCTTTCATACAAAAGGAACAACATTTCAGTGTAGGTTCTAACACTATCATCACAGGGCTCCAGATAATTTTTTAACATCAGGAGTACCTACTCCTATTTTTTTAAATATAGGACTACTGGAAAAACTTAAAAGTACATTTAGAGTACTGAATGGAATTTAATGGAATATCAGTGATCTTGTGTTTCGTTTCATATATGCACCACAACATTGCTACTCTTGTGTAAACAGGTAAAAAAACCCAACACTTTTTCAGATAAATACGTCTGTAAATGATTCTAAGACCGCCTACACCATTGCTGTGGTGCGTATCTGCTACATTTTCTAAATTATTTCCTACCGTATCGTGCATATTTTTTATCCGTACATATGCCGATATGGCCCTTATCTGGAGCTCTGCATCAAACAAAGTATTGGAACCTACACCAAAACGTTTCACTTATTCTAATATAGTGGCTGTTGATCCTTATATCGTATCCTTCAGTTGTAAACCTAGTTCAGATGGTATGTTTGGAACATTCGTATCTACTTATGATATATGTATGCTATAAAACATGCGTAGTCCTTTGTAGAAATAGCCATGAGTGATATTAGGTGTTCTTATCCACCAAGATATCTTTTTCAGGAATTTTGAATTCAGTGTCATTGAAATTTAAATTTGAATTAAATTTAAAATCTCACTCTATAAACTTAAACATGACATGGTAATTTGCTACTTACTTTAATCAGGGTAAAAGTGGCAAGTGATTTTGGACCAGTAACTTTCAAGCTACATGTTGTTGTGAGGGGATGATTGTGATAACTGTATCATCAGATATTTGGTGCAGTTAACATTGATGGGCTGTCGATGTGTGTTGAGTTGACAAGAAACAGATGTGTAGTTAGCTATGAGTTAAAGGCAGAGAGCATTTCTGATCTCATCTTTCATGGCAAACTTACAGATTTCTACAGTCGCTCTACAGATTTGTGGCAAAAGAAGCAATAGCAAATTTATCGTTATCGTTATCGTTATTGATATCTATTATCATGATTATTGGACCATGTTAATGCCTTTGTTACATGTTTTTATATGTTTTAGAAGTTCTGATACTCTGTTGTTTTTTATTGCTCAACCTTTGTATTTCTCCTTTACAACAGGGTTGTATTTTCCTTGTAAGTCCCGGAAGCTAGGATAATGATTACCATGTGTCTTGTTTTGTAATTATTCACATGCTTTTGTTTAGAAAAAGGAGCTGCACCCAAAGTAAGATTTAACTTTATTGCCAGATTGCTTTTGAACCTCTAAGCAAAATGGTAAATTGGCAATTTAGCCATGTAAATCATGGATACAGCTTTTGAAAAAAGGAAGAATGGATTGTTTTGTTTTTATTCTGATTCAGTTGGTAATTGCTTCATTTTGCTAAATGATACTTAACAAAATGAACAAGAGGTTTGTTGATAGAACTTGTGGATTTAGATGTCTGTGGATTCATGTGTGCCATGTTCCATAGGTTAATTATATTGACCCGTTATTGCAGACCTTTTTACAATATTTACAGAGAACAGTGGAAATATGATAAAGCAGGCATGGTAACTGGAGAAATGAAAATATTGTTACACAGAATATACCGAGAGCAATAGAGCTAATGTCCTTGTGAGACTCCCAGACAAATACTACATTTGTCAACATGTCTGTCCTGTGTGATATATTTGCTTGAGAGTGACTGAAATCTGCTGAGCCAAGTTGAAGGTATTTCTGGGGACTGATTGGGTAGTGGGAGAGTATGTTGAGGATTTTTGTGATGAAAATGAAACTTCTTAAATTCCAAAAGCATAATTATGTGTTAGGTTTAAATAAGAAATAGAGAAGAAATATACAAGAATCTCTTTATATTTTTGGAAACAATATTGCCTTGTGTGATTATAGGTCTATAACTGATGTCTGTAAATTATTCTTGTGTATGGGTGATAAAATACATTGTGTGAGTTGAATGAAGGCAAAAGAAATCTATTGTGTTTTATCCACTAAATGGATTTATCAGAATGGCAGACAATTCCCTATGTAGTGTTCATCCAATCTACTAAATCAATCTTCCTAGTCTGATGGTCTTTTGAATTGTTGTTCTGGTAACCATGGTAATTTACCATTTACCAATGCAAGAGGTATAATTCTTGTTCCACTTTTAATTTGATATTGCTTCATCATCTAGATACACGTGTGTTAAATATCTCATAACATGAAATTCTTATTCAGCTGTTTCTTTCATTCTAACATGATACCTTTCTGTCACCTAAAAAATATTGGATTGGTTGAGTTACCATGGTTACCTGAAACAAATGTGCTTTGTGCCAAGTTTTTCTTTACTTATTACATTCAAAGCTGAAAGGTAACTTGAGAATGGTTCTCTTGTTTTATTAGTAGTTCAAGTGCTGTAAGTCTATGGGTTCATGGTGAGTGTTGGGGAGACATAGGGATGTATGTGCCATAGGAATTTGAAAATATTCAGCTCAACTTGCAGGTACACGTGACCTTTTCTAAGCCTGATACAGTGAAACCTGTCTAAACTGGCACCCAATGGGTTTAGGCAGGGTGCCGGATTAGACAGTGACAATCATTTTCGAACATGGCTGCCATTTACACTCGCTAATCTCTTTATTCCTGATTATCTAGCGTGCAAAGAGGAGTGTATTGGATTAAGGGACCTTGATTGGACTGCTCATACCCATGCCAGCTTTGAGCATTTGATTCACCGCGCAATCACCACTTCCTGATTATCTTGTGTGCCAAGAGGATTAATTAGTGTATTGGATTATGGGTCCTTGATAGCTCATACCCATGTCGGTTTAGACAATGTTAATTTCATTTAAAATTGCTTGTTGGGACCGGAAAGTTGTGCCGGAATAAGGAATTGACAGGTGCCGCATTAGACAATGTTTTAATGATCATAATATTGTTGTAAAATGGCAGGACCAAAATTTTATGCCAGTTTTGACAGTGTGACAGATTAGACAGGTGCTGGTGTTGGGAGGTTTGTAATTCAAAGTTAAAATACCTATGAATTCAAGAAAACAAGAACTTTAAAAAAATCCTAATTTTGAATTATTTGTGTTCTCTTTCCAATTTCTTGCCATGGGAAATTTGTTTGGAATCCAAAGTAAACCATGTGTGAACAACCTTTTCTTATCTTCAAGGGAAATTTTAGAAAGTTTCATTGCTAATGCATCTTAATAGCTTCAACTCCACTGCCAAATTAATTGTAGAATACATGATTTGTAAATTCTCCAAATGTGAACATTTCTTGGTAGAAATTGTACACAAGATGACAAATTTGTGTAAGCAGGCCTACTTATCTCTTGGCCAGTACATCCAAATTGTATTTACAAAGTGCATGGCAGAATACCAGGAATATCCCTTCCAATAGTTTAATATTCTACTCCTGACATTGCAGTATTATAATCATTATATCAGTAAGACCATTTATCATACATCAGATTCCATTCACAAATCTTTAGTAATAAATGATAATCTATATTACAGGAATATTACCTTTGTATCAGTGTGCACTAGAATTCTATTCTCAACTCCCTGGGGAGAGCAGTACTATTATAAATATGTTATGTATCATACTGGGGTCTTTTGTTTGAAAGTTTTGTTTGGTTTATGTAAAAGATATTTGTTTTGATATTTTTTGTGCAGATCAGTAATATCGTTACACATTATTCATCATGTATTCAAGTGATTTTAGTTTTGTTAACATAGGCATGTCATATTTGTGAAGTTCAAATTGCAAAAATGGCTTTTTGTTGAGAATGTTATTTGTCTCATTTAATAATGAAGTATTGATCTTACTCATTGAATTTGAATGAAATACTTACATGCACCATGTTAAACCATGACAGTTTGTTTGATTTGTGCTCCTTGTGTAAGTTATCTTAATAATGTATGACATGAGCTCATGAGGAAGTTTTGCCTTGTGTTTGGAAATGTATTTAAAATATTTAGCTTGAGGTCCAGCCCATTAGGTAAACAGCTTTGTTCATTCGTAGTATGTCAAAAGAACATATTCTAATTAAATCTTGTACTCTTTCATCATGAATTTTAATTTGTTGGAATTGTACTATTCATGTGAAGTCTCAAGTGCATACTAAACGATAAACAAGAATAAATTTTCTTAGTTGTAACAGTAACAACTATAGGGAATTGCTTTGGCAAGCTACATTAAAGGTTTATGTGTCCATGTATGGATGAAAAATTTCATGTTTTTTGCATAATAATGAATCATGGTTGTGACCTTTTAAACAAAATGTTTTCTATTCCGTCAAGATCTGGAGATAGAATTTTTTGTTTTACTGTTTTCTAGACTTAAAAGTGCCACTTTAGTTAAACTTACATCATTAGTGACCAGTCATGACAGAACAAAAATAAATGTTACAAACATTTATTTGAATTTCAAATAACAATTATTACACTGAGTACACTGAGCAAGACTGAAGGTAGCGACCCCTGTCTCTACAAGTCACATGACTGGTCACATGATTACACTTATGACTATCGTCTTTTGGCATAATATTGGTACAAAGTGAGAATTTATACCCGGAGTGGCCTTTCCCACAGTGGCCCCTGAGTTTTCACACCTTGTTGACAACTCATCCCAGAGTGGCCCCTGAAACCTTACGTGTTCCCGAACTGGCCTCTCTTAATCCAATCAGCTTAATTACCAACAGTGTTGGACTAATTACGGAGGCGTGATGCTTTGAAAGAGCTCTAAGTACCGTGATGAAACAGAAACACAACAAACCAAAGAGTGTTTTTCCCTCTAAAGCAATGACTGATATAACCAACATTCACCCAGAAGTCTACTTATAGCAAAAAGGATAAATACACACAAAAATAAAGATAAATTATTACACAAACTTCTTCC